CTGCCACTGCCCCTCCCCGCTGCACTGCCCTGCCCCCTCCCCGCCCTGCCACTGCCCCTGCCCCCTCCCGCCTGCCCCTGCCCCCCCGCCGCCCTGCCCCGCCCCCTGCCCCCCCTGCCCCTCCCCGCCCCCTCGCCCGCCCTGCCACTGCCCCTGCCCGCCCTCCCCCTGCCCCGCCCTGCCCCCTCCCCGCCCTGCCACTGCCTCCCCCCCCCCTGCCACTGCCCCCGCCCCGCCCGCCCCTGCCCCTCCCCCTCCCCGCCCTGCCACTGCCCCCGCCCGCCCCTGCCCTGCCCCTGCCCCCTCCCCGCCCTGCCACTGCCCCCCCCCGCCCTGCCCTGCCCCCCCCCCCCCCTGCCACTGCCCCCGCCCCGCCCTGCCCCTGCCCCTGCCCCCTCCCCGCCCTGCCACTGCCCCCTCCCCGCCCTGCCCCTGCCCCCGCCCCGCCCTGCCCGAGCCCCAGGGAGGAAGGTCCTCGGCCAGGACTCCCTCTCCCCGGGGGAGGGCAGGCGAGGTGGGCCGGCTGAGGTGGGGCCTGTGGCTCCCCTGCCCCAGGGTGGGAGCCTTGCGAAGAGGAGGGTGATACCTGGTGGCGGGGGTGGGGGGAGCAGGGGAGCCAGGGGGTGGCGCTGGGAGGGACCTCCAGGTGGCGCCTGGTGGGGCCTCCGGATGCCCTGTGGAGCCGCCCTCACGCCCCTCTCCCTTCTCCCCAGGAAGCCCCCAGCTGCCCAGCGCCCCGCCAGGCAGACGCCCAGCTCCCCCGCCTCGGAGGCTGCTGGCCCGGCCTCCCCGCTCCCCTCCGCTTCAGCCTGCCCCCTGCCATCGAAGGCCCCCTGCCCCTCCTCCCCCTCCCCCTGCCCCTTCCCCCCGCCCTCCCCCTCCCCCCCCTCAGACGGGGAGGAGCCGGCGCTGCAGGAGGAGGCCGCCTCTGCAGGGAAGGGCCCCGGGGGCCTGTCCAAGCTGCCCTCCTTCATCGCCCTGCAGTCCTCACCCAGCCCGGGCGGCCAGCCCAGGGCCCCGGCCAGCAGGAGCCGCCCCGCCAAGGACTCAGGTAGGCCGCCAGCCCGGCCCCGCGCACGGCCAGGGTCTCCCGTGCCCGCAGCTCCAGCGCGGTGTGCCACCTGCCGCCATGGGCGGGCAGGCCGAGGTGGGTGCGCAGGCCGAGGCTGATTTAATTAGGAAGCACCCATTCTGCTAATTTGTTCTGGAAGCTGGCGCACGCTCCGGAGCCAACAGATGCTCCGCTCCCCGGTGAGCACTTGGGCCCGGTAATGGCTCCACTCAGCCTTGTTGAGGAGAGAAAAGAGGGTTTTATGGCTGCAAACGGCCCTTCTGTAAACATCTTACAGCTCTCCGCGCGTCTGAGTGACGATAAACCCCACGCAGCTCGGCGGGCTGCAAATGTGCGACCATACGGCCATCATTTCATTGTCATATTTCACGGTCGTAACGTTAATGGAAGATGCTTGCCGCAGCCTCCCTAGCAGCTCCGTTGAGCACGCTCAATCGCGGACGCGGAGGAGGGGCCGCTGGGAGCTCTGCCGCTTTTATTTTGTAAATCAGGAACCGGCAGCCACCCAGAGTCCAAGGAGGCAGGCAGGGGCGCCCCCCCCGGCCTCTGCTCTGCGGAGCTGGGCGGGGAGGGCCCGGGCAGGAGGCCCCCCAGCTGCCACAAAGCAGTGAGGCAGAGGCCCGGGCCCCGCGGCTGGGCCGAGCAGGTGGCTGGGGCCTCAGCCCTGAGCGCCCACCGAGAGGCCTGCCCGTGGGGGCTGTGGAGGCGTCCGGTCCTCAGGCACAGCCTGAGGGGCTCATGGGAAGGGAGAGGCCCCGTGGACGACTCTCCACCCTCTGGCTGCTTCTGAGCACAGGCTGCCCCGTCTCCGCACCGGGCCTCGGTGCCCTGCCCCGCCCAGCCTGCGGCTGGCACACTCCTGGCTTTTCCCGGAAGGTGCAGCCCGTCTGGGTGTGCCCCGGTGCTCCAGCTCCGCCTGCCCCTCCCCCCCACCGGCCACGGGCACTGCTCCCCTCTCCGGGGCCACAGGGGCCAGGCCTGCTCCCGAGGGACAGCTGGGTCCCAGGTGGCCTGTCGGAAGCCGCTGTCCCCGTTCCCAGTGCCCCTGCTGTGCCCGCCCTCTCGGGAGCTGGGGGCTGCCGCCAGCCAGGGGCTCCTGGCGCCTGACCTCTGCCCTTCTCGGAACAGGGAAACCTCTGCACATCAAACCCCGGCTGTGAGCCAGGTGCCAGCCCACGCCTACCTCCACCCCTCGGCGCGGACAGGAAGGGGCTCCCGCTCCCGCCCCGGAGGGCTGCTGCCAGGAGACGCCCTGGGGGCCACAGGGCCATCGTCCGCCCACCCAGCCCCAGCCTCCCCCGACCAGTGCGAGCCCAGGCCTCCCCTCCCTCGGCTGGGCCCTGCCTGGCCGGCCCCTCTGTACCCCGCACCTCCCACCCAGCACACGCCCCCCCCCCTGAGGTGGGGCAGTGGTCACTGCACCCGAGCCTCACCCAGGACTCCCGCCCGGCAGGGGCCACCAGCCAGCTCCCTGGCGGCATTCACGTTCAGCAATAAAGGTTGTCCCGCGTCTGCTTGCTGCCCGTCTGTCGCCTCGCCACAGCTCACGGTGGCCGCTGCCCAGGGGGCCCTGGGAGCCTGGGGGACCTGGAGCCCTGGAGAAGGGGCTGGCCGCAGACTGAAGGTTCAGACCTCCCAGGACCACTGCTCCGTCCTCCCACTGCCCACCAGGCTCTGGGCCTGAGCAGGAGCCCCGGCCCGGCCCTCACGGCCAGGCCCTGTGCCTGGGGCCAGGGCCGGGGCTGCAGCAGGCTGGGTGAGCCCCCGCCGAGCCCTGCAGAGGCCCGGCAGCTCGGGGGTGGCCGGCCGGGCAGGGGCCGGGCAGGTCGGCAGCCTGAGGTGGAGGCAGCTGGTGCGGCTCGCACACTCGCACGCTGCTGGTCATTGGTGGCTGTCCCTGGTCACGGCTGGGACCCGCCTGCACCCCTGCCTCTCCCCACGCCCTGGGGCGCCCTTGAGCTGTCCTTGAAGGGCGAAGCCTTGACAGTGGGAGGGGCCGGGTAACTGCTTCCTGCCTGGCAGACCCCTCAGTAAGAGCGGGGTGCGCCTGCTGCCCCAGGTGCCCGGTGTGTCCACTGGCAGCTGACCTGCCTGACGGACGCCTGACACCCCCACCCCCCACGGCCCTGCTCCCCAGGCCAAGGCTCTGGGACTGCCAGTGGGAGGCCTGGGAAGGGGGACCCAGGACCCCCTGTGCTCAGCCCAGCGCCCGGAGCCGCAGTCAGGCCGCCCGCAGGCAGCACGGAAGGCCCTGGAAGGCCTGGGCACTCGGGGAGACCCGAGGTGGGGCGGGGGCGCAGGAGGCAATGCCTGGGGAGGAGAGGCGTGCAGCTTTCTGCACAACGTCCACGCAGGCGACCCCTGCCCCAGCTCGGGAGCTGCCGCCCAGAGCCACATGCCCTCCTCCCGGCCCTTCCCTGGCTGCTGGCACCACGGCCCTTCCTGGCCGAGTGTCCTTGCCCGAAACATTTCAGGTGGACCCTGGGGGCCAGGCTCTTGGTGGCTGAGCATGGGCCTCAAGGACCTCGGGGGGCGCTGATGGGGGCTCCGCTGGTCCGCCAGCCTGACCCCTCAGGACAAGGGAGGCACTTGGGCAGACGGGGGTGGTGGTGGCCCCAGAGCCCAGCGTGATGGGTGTCCGTGCCCTCAGCCGGCAAACACTTCGCTCCTGAGTCAGGGGCCTCCCCCTGGACACTGGGGGCTCTAAGGGGCGCCCCAAACCCTGTGATGCTTCTGTGTCCTGGAGTCTAAACACCTGACCTGGGGGCTCCATCCTGCCCCCCTTTGCTGGGCCATCCCTCAGGGTCCCCCCAGCAGGGTGTGGGGGCAGTAGAGGCGGCACAGAGGCCCGCTAAGGGGGCTGGGCCACCCGTGGTCTATTAGGTGTGGGTTTGAGCCCCAATAGTGGTACATTTTTATTATAAATTACAGACGTTTGAGCAGAACAAGGAGCAACTCCGTAGCTGAATGCCTCTAGCGGCTTTCTGCCTGCGTCCCTCCTCACTTTTCTTCTTACGCATAAATACTTGGAGTTAGTGTTGCCTTTTTACACAAGTCATACAACAGCCAGAAACAGGATGGGGAGCGGGTCACTCCCAGTCAGGTCCCTCTCCCCCATTGGCCCTGGGGGGGCAGGGGCAGGGACCCTCACCCGCTAGGGCGTCCCTGGGCCACCGACTGCACCTTCAAACCTCAGGCCCCCGCGCCCTGCTCCAGCCCCCGCCTGGTGGGCAGCTGGGGCCGGGTTCCTAATTGCCGAGCCCCGCCCCTCAGCCGCCGGCCCCGCCCTGGCCCTGGAGCACCCGCCCCTCTGTGCCCGCACCCTGTCCCCGGAGCACCCCCTCGGCGGTCCCCTCCCCGCCTGTCCGCACCCTGGGTCCCACCGCCAGGGTAAAACGTGGTGGACGGAATTCCTGAACCCGCCTGGACCGCGCGCGCCCGCCGGGCCGGTGTCCCGGCGTCGAGAGGCCTGGAGGTCCCCGCACGGCCACGCCAGCCGCGGGACGCTGCCTCCGCCAGCCGGGCAGCGCCGGGAAGGGGCAGCTGGGTCACGGCCAGCGGGGCTGTGCGGGGACCGAGGCACCAAGGGGCACCTTCTGCTCCCCGAGACTCCCCGGGCGCCCCGTCGCGCACGCGAGGGCCCAGAGGCCGCAAACCGGTGCCCACACCCGGCGGCCCTCTGCCTCGCGCCCCCGCGCCCCCCGCCGCTGCAGTGCCCCGCGGCGGCCACCAGAGGGCCCTGCTCCAGCCCGCGGCCCGTCACCACCCTTTCCCACAGCTGTTCCCCGCAGGAGATTGACAGCTGGGATCCGGGTTGCCATGGGGATAGGCAAATGAGGGCGGCGGGTCTGGGACTCCTATTGGCCCGAGGGCGCGCGCCCCTCCCAAGGAGGCGGGCCCGGGCGCCGGGCGCCGGGCTCTATAAAAGGGGAGCGCGCGGCGCGGCGCTCGGCCTTGGAGGCGGGGCCGGCCGAGCGCGGGCGGAGCGCCCGGGAGTCCCTGCAGCCCCAGGCGGCGGCCGCCCCGCAGCCGCCGGCCACCTGCCCTGGCGCCGGAGGGGGACGGGAGCGCGGCCGGCCTGCGCCCGCGGTGACCGGGGCGCGCTCGCGGCCCGCGCCGCCCAAGGACCCAGCCGCGCGGCCCCAGCTGCCGAGACTGAGTTGACCGCGCGCGAAACTTTTACACGCGCGCTCGGGGCCGCAGCCGGGAGCCGCCCGTCCCTGCCGCCCGCGGCCGCCCCGCCGGGACCCAGCGCCGTGGCGTTCGGAGCGGGGAGAGGCCCGCGGCCCCCCCACGCCCTCCCTCGGGGCACAGCCGGGCGGGGCCGGGCCCCGGGCGATGGCCGCGGAGCTGGCGATGGGCGCCGAGCTGCCCAGTAGCCCGCTGGCCATCGAGTACGTCAACGACTTCGACCTGATGAAGTTCGAGGTGAAGAAGGAACCCGCCGAGGCCGAGCGTTTCTGCCACCGCCTGCATCCCGGCTCCGTGTCCTCGACGCCGCTCAGCACGCCCTGCTCCTCCGTGCCCTCCTCGCCCAGCTTCTGCGCGCCCAGCCCGGGCGCCGGGGGCGGCGGCGCGGCGCAGGCCGGGGGCGCGGCGGGCGCGGCGGGGAAGCCGGCGCCGGAGGAGCTGTACTGGATGAGCGGCTACCAGCACCACCTGAGCCCCGAGGCGCTCGGCCTGACGCCCGAGGACGCGGTGGAGGCGCTCATCGGTAGCGGCCAGCACGCCGGGCACCACAGCGCGCACCACCCCGCGGCCGCGGCGGCCTACGAGGCCTTCCGGGGCCCGGGCTTCGCGGGCGGCGGCGGCGCCGGGGACGTGGGCGCGGGCCACCCCCACGGCGCGCACCACGGCGCCCACCACCACCACGTGCGCCTGGAGGAGCGCTTCTCCGACGACCAGCTGGTGTCCATGTCGGTGCGCGAGCTGAACCGGCAGCTGCGCGGGGTGAGCAAGGAGGAGGTGCTGCGGCTGAAGCAGAAGCGGCGCACCCTCAAGAACCGCGGCTACGCGCAGTCCTGCCGCTTCAAGCGCGTGCAGCAGCGGCACGTCCTGGAGAGCGAGCGGAGCCGGCTGCAGGCGCAGGTGGAGCAGCTGCGGCGGGAGCTGGGGCGCCTGGCGGAGGAGCGGGACCGCTACCGGGAGAAGTTTGAGAAGCTGGCGGCCCGCGGCGGCCCCGGGGGCGCGGGCGGGCCCGGCCTCCCGCGGGCGTCCTCGCCGCCGCAGGCCGGGCCCGGCGGGGCCAAGGGCGCGCCCGGCTTCTTCCTGTGAGCGCGGCTCGGAGAGGCCCAGCCCCGGGCCAGACTCTCCCCGCGCCCCCGGGAGAGGCCCAGACCCCGGGCCAGACTCTCCCCGCGCCCCCGGGGCCCCCGGGAGAGGCCCAGACCCCGGGCCAGACTCTCCCCGCGCCCCCGGGGCCCCCGGGAGAGGCCCAGACCCCGGGCCAGACTCTCCCCGCGCCGCCCGGAGAGGTCCAGCCCCGGGGCCAGACTCTCCCTGCGCCCGCCGCCAGGAGAAGCCCAGACCCCGGGCCAGACTCGCCCCGCGCCCCCGGGGCCCCCGGGAGAGGCCCAGACCCCGGGCCAGACTCTCCCCGCGCCCCCGGGGCCCCCGGGAGAGGCCCAGACCCCGGGCCAGACTCGCCCCGCGCCCGCCGCCCGGAGGAGCCCAGACCCCGGGGCCGGCCCCGGGCGCCCGCTCCAGGCCCTCCAAGGGCGGCGGGCCTCGGCCTCCCCGCGGCGCGGCCCCTCGCCCCGCACCGGCCCGGGGAGCGCAGTGACTTCGGGGAAAGCGGCTCCGGGCTCCCGGGGCCCCACGTGCACGCCCGGCCCGGCCCGGGACCCGCCCTCCTGTCTCCCCTCCGGTCCTCGCCCTCTTTACGGCGGAAGCGCCTGGTTCCCACGGGTGTGTTTGTTCTGCTCGGTGACGGGGGAGAAGGCCCCGCAGAGGCTCCTGCCCGCGGGGACCCCTCGGACTCCGCTCCCCGCATGTGCCCCGCCCGCCTGCCCCCGCCCCGCCCGCCTGCCCGCCCCGCCCGCCCCGTCCCTGGGAGGTGGGCCCGGAGCCTGGGCTGCACCCCGTCCCGCCGCCCCGGGGGGGGGGGGCTCGGACCCGCGCCGCGTCCTCCGCACCAGGGAAAAGCACCCTGTTTACCTTCGGAGAAATGAGAGTGACCGCGTTCCTGCGGGGAACCAGCGGTTTGGCCTGGCCTCCCGCATGGGGGTGGGTGAAGTGTCTGTTTTCACTGTTTCCTTCAGTTTGAGGGTTAAGCCGGCCTGGGGGCGGGTCACCCCGGGCCGGGCCCCTCTTCCTGGGAGCCGCGGGCAGAGGCCCGAACAATAAACCGCTGAGACCCCAACGCCCCGGAGCCGCTTCCTTTCCGCCGCGTCCGCCGTCGGAAGAGGGCCCGGCCCGGCGCGGAGGGGCCGGCGGTGACCCGCGTGCGGGCCCGGCGCCCCCCCCCCCCGGCGGCCTCCGTCCCCCGAAGGCCGGGCCGGCAGCGGCGCGGGGCGGCGGGGACCCTCCCGGCGGCACCGGGAGAAGCGCTCGGCGCCCGCCCGGTGGAGGGCTGCGGTCCCGGGTCCGAGTTCTCCGCGCGCGAAGCCAGTTCGTTCTCATCGGAGCCGCGGGCGAAGGGAGGCTGCGCCCGGGCCAAACTCCGAGCGGCCCGGGTCCGAGGCGGCGCCTCCCGCCGGCCGGTCCGCCCAGCCCGCCGCGCGGGGGGCGGGGGGCCAGTGGGACGGTACAGGGACGAGCCAGACAGGCCCTCCGGCTCCGGTTTGAGTCCTTGGTTTCCACCGTCGCCGCGGGGTTTTGGGGTTGGGGTTGGGGGGCCTTCCTCCTGCAGAGAAAGCGCGAGTGGGTTTGGGGAGGGAGCTTCCTGTGCTCCTGGTGCGACCTCACATCCCCCCTCCTCCGTTCATCCTCACGTCCAACCCCTTTCCTCTGCCCCGCCCCCCTCCCCCCCTTTCCTCTGCCCCGCCCCCCTCCCCCGGAGGGACTGGGGAGCAGGCGGCCCCTCTGGGCATTTGGAGGCGCTTTTCCAAACGCCTTTGGGGAACCACGGACGGGAGGGGGGGGGGCAGCAGCTGTGGGAGGGCTGGCCCGGCCCAGAGCCAGAGCGAGGCCGGCCTGCTCCTCTGCTGCCAGGTGCCCGCTGAGCCCGCTGAGCCTCCCTCCCTCCCAGGTCCTGCAGCGCCGGGACCTGCAGCCGGGCGGGCTGGGGCTGGGGCCAGGGACTGGAGATGGGGTCTCAGGAGTGTGGACAGAGGCAGCCAAGATGCCCAGCCCTGGGTCTGGGAGCTGGCGGGGCAGCGAGGCCTGGGGCAGGGGGGAGGGAGGAAGGGGGCGGGGGGATGGGGAGCCTGGGTCAGGGGGGAGGGAGGACCTGGGTGGGGGGAGGGAGGGAGGGGGCGGGGGAACCTGGGGCAGGGCCGCCTGCTCAGCACTAAGGCCCATCGCGGCCTCTGGCAGGGCTGCCCCTGGCACTGGGCCCTGTGCTCCACCAGGTCCAGCCAGAATCCACACCCGACCTCCCAGCACCACCCACCCGCACCCACCACCACCCACCCGCCTCCGGAGGGAGGTCCTCTGGTCGCCATATCAGGTTGAGGCCCTTCTCTCTTCCTGCCCCGCGGAGGGAGGGCCCGGCCGGCCCGTGCCAGAGGAGGCGGACAGTAACCAGCAGGGAGCGAGCCAGGGTCTGGGTGGAGGAGGGTCTGGGCAGGAGGAGGGCTGGGGATCAGGGGCCGGGGCTGAGACAGAGCAGAGGGGGTGCCCTGAGCGCAGCCTGAGGACCTCCAGTCCCAGGAGCCGCCCCTGCAGGTCAGGCCCGATGGGTGGGAGGGGAGGCTGAGGGGCCAGGCGTCCACAGGAGGGGGACAGCTCCCCGCGGGGTCCCGGAGGGGAGGGAGCTGCGGGGAGGGAGGGGGCCGGGGAGGGGCTAGGGGACCACTGTGGAGCCCTCAGGTGGGGGCGGGCAGTGGGTGGGGTCACTAGACCACTTTAGGGGAGTTTGGCTAAAAGAGGAGGTAGCCAGGCCAGCGTGGCTCAGTGGATAGAGCGTCGGGCTGCGTGTGGACTGAAGGGTCCGGGGTTCAATCCCCGTCAAGGGCACGTGCCCAAGTTGCAGGCTCCAGCCCCGGTGGAGGGCGTAGGAGGCAGCCCACCAACGATTCTCACCACTGATGTTTCTCTCTTCCTCTCTGAAATCAACAAAACGTATTAAAAAATAAAAATAAAAAAAAGCAGAGCAGGTAGAGGGGCCTGGGGGGCCTGGGGTGGGAGGGGGTCTCAGGAGCCCTCCCCTGCCCCCAGCGGGGCTCCCCCGAACTCCACCCCCCTCTCCCCACCCCCCCTCCCACCCGCAGAGCAGCGGAGCCTCCCTGGCTCAGGGGCCATCACTGGGGAGGTGGCGGGTGGGGACCGACCCCCTCCCTCCCTCCCTCCCCCCTCCCTCCCTCCCCTGGGCACCACAGGGTGGCTGCTACCACCAGCAGCCAGCTCGGGCCCGGCACTCAGCGGCCAACAACCCCCCTTGGCCCGCCCTCTGCCTCATGCCCGCTGGGTGCCACCTGGGCCAGAGCCGCCAGGAGGGGACAGGCCCACTGACCACTGGGTGCCGTGTCCCTCCCTCCCATCGCGGTCCCCGTGGCCCCCCCAGTCACACGCACACACACACTCATGCACACTTACGCACACTCACACGCACACTAATACACTAACACACACGCACACTAACACATATGCACGCACACTAACGCACGCGCGCGCACACAGGCATACACACACACGCACACGCACACTCACGCACACACACCCCCCGGGCTGAGGCCTCTCGGCTCCCAGCTTTCCCTGGGGACCAGGCGGCAGGGCCGGGGGGGCTGCAGGCAGTGGAGGGCGTTAGGCAGGTACACCGGTGCCGCTGCCCCCCCTTCTCCCCATGAGGCGCGATGGCGGTAAGCATCTTCCGAGCTCATTGCCCGCTGCCCGCTGACGGCCGTCGCGGTAATGAGGCCGCAGAGTGTGTCCCGCTCCACTGCCCCCGGGGGCCTCCCAGCCCAGGTGGCTCTGCCCGCGCCCGGCACCGGCCCCAGCCCCCAGCCCAGCGGCCGGCATGGGGTGCCCCGGGCTGGCCCGGCCGCGGCCGTGGAGGCAGGTCCCAGGGCCATGGCCTCCCTCCCAGCAGCGCCCACAGCGGACACGCAGCCCTGACGGGCGCACACCGGGACAGAGCCCCCCCCGCCCCCCGGGAGCCTCGTCACAGGCCCGCAGGGCAGCCGCCCGGCAGCCACCCGGCCCCTCTGGCCAGGGAGCTGCGCCCGGACCCTGGCCGCCCCCCATTGCCGCCCTCCCCTCCCCCGAGCTCTCTCCCAGGTCCCGGCAGCACCGGCCTGGCCAGGGGCAGAGGCCCGGCGGCCTCCAGCAGTGCCGGCCGCCTGGGCGCCTAGTGCCAGGCTGGGAGGGGTCAGAGGTCAGGCCGGGTCTCAGGAGACACAGGAACCCAGAGTCCACGGGCTCTCTCTTGAGGACGCTGTCCCCGGGGCCTACACCCTGCCCTGCCCTCCCCAACACCAGGGCTTCCTTCAGACTCACGGGGCACCTGCCGTTCGAGTCTGTCACCCCACCTCCATCACCTCCTCCACCATCACCTCCACCACCACCATCACCTCCATCTCCTCCACCATCACCTCCTCCACCATCACCTCCACCATCATCATCACCTCCTCCACCATCACCTCCACCACCACCATCACCTCCACCACCTCCACCACCTCCACCTCCTCCACCATCACCTCCACCACCACCATCACCTCCTCCACCTCCTCCACCACCACCTCCACCACCACCATCACCTCCATCTCCTCCACCTCCACCACCTCCTCCACCATCACCTCCTCCACCTCCTCCACCATCACCTCCTCCACCTCCTCCACCATCACCTTCACCACCTCCTCCACCACCACCTCCATCACCTCCACCATCACCATCACCTCCATCACCTCCTCCACCATCACCTCCACCACCATCATCACCTCCTCCACCACCACCTCCACCACCACCATCACCTCCATCTCCTCCACCATCACCATCACCTCCATCTCCTCCACCTCCTCCACCACCTCCTTCACCTCCTCCACCATCACCTCCACCACCATCACTTCCTCCATCTCCTCCACCTCCTCCACCATCACCTCCACCACCATCACCACCTCCTCCATCTCCTCCACCTCCTCCACCATCACCTCCACCACCACCATCACCTCCTCCATCTCCTTCACCTCCTCCACCATCACCTCCACCACCACCTCCACCTCCTCCACCTCCTCCACCATCACCATCACCTCCATCTCCTCCACCTCCTCCACCACCTCCTTCACCTCCTCCACCATCACCTCCACCACCATCACCACCTCCTCCATCTCCTCCACCTCCTCCACCATCACCTCCACCACCATCACTTCCTCCATCTCCTCCACCTCCTCCACCATCACCTCCACCACCACCATCACCTCCACCACCTCCTCCACCTCCTCCACCATCACCTCCACCACCTCCTCCACCTCCTCCACCACCACCACCACCATCACCTCCACCACCTCCACCTCCTCCACCATCACCTCCACCACCACCATCACCTCCACCACCTCCACCACCATCACCTCCTCCACCTCCTCCACCATCACCTCCACCACCTCCTCCACCTCCTCCACCATCACCTCCACCTCCTCCACCATCACCTCCACCTCCTTCACCATCACCTCCACCACTACCATCACCTCCTCCATCTCCTCCACCTCCTCCACCATCACCTCCACCTCCACCACCACCTCCTCCATCACCTCCACCTCCACCATCACCACTTCCATCACCACCACCATCACCTCCACCACCATCATCACCATCATCACCTCCCCCACCTCCACCACCACCTCCACCTCCATCACCTCCACCTGCACCACCACCATCACCTCCCCCACCTCCACCATCCCTCACCTCCATCACCTACACCACCACCATCTCCTCCACCATCACCACCTCCACCATCACCTCCACCTCTACCACCACCTCCACCACCATCACCATCATCACCCCGTGAATTTCTAAGGAACACAAGAGCCAAACTGGCTGTTTTTGCCCGGGAGCAGTGAACGGGGAGGTGTCTGGGCTGGGTGTTCTGGGAGGCCTGTGCCCGGCCCCGGGTGGGGGTCAGGAGAGGGGGTGGTGGGCTGAACAGCGTGACCAGACAGGTGTGGGGGTGGGTGTCACGCACTCCAGTCCCCGTGAGCGTGGCCTCCAGGGAGGGCCCGCCCACCGCCCACCGCCCACCGCCCACCGCCCACCGCCCACCGCCCACCGCCCACCGCCCACCGCCCACCGCCGGGAAACCAGCTCAGCCTCGGAAGGTGGCCCAGAGGGGGCTCACTCGGGGGCTGGGGAGGCGGGCGGAGGGTGGGGGAGCGCCCCAGGCGGAGGGCCCCCCCCTCTGTTCACCCTGAACCCCACCCGCTGCCGCGACCAGGTCTCTTCATCTCTTCACTTGTCTTTTCTGGTCAATAAACCTCGCTGGGGGGCTGGGAGTGGGCTGAGAGCCCCCCTCCCGGCTGTAATTAAGCGCGTGCAGCCTAATTAATTGAGTGGTCAGGATGCTAATTAGCGGCTCGATGGAGGCTGGAGGAGGGTGAAGGGCAACCTTGGCAGTGAGCGCGGCTCTCCGGGGGCCGCTCCCTCTGCCCGGCCCTGCCCTGCCCCCTGGGCTGCGCCACACCCAGCACCCCCACCTCTGGCACCTCCGGCCTCTGCCTCCCCCCCCCCCGCGCCCCTGCCTCTGCCCCCCCCCCCGTGCCCCGGCCGGCCCCGTGCCCCGGCCGGCCCCCGGCCCCGCTGTCCTCTCTGACCACCTGACACGCGGCTCTGGCCGCCTGCACCCCTGGCCTCGCTGCCCGAAGGCCGCCGTGGCCCGTGGCCGTGGCCGTGGCCCGTGGCTGTGGCAGTGGCCGTGGGCGTCTGCGGCAGAGCCCACTCCTTCCTGGGACTCCTGTCTGGAGCCTCTGGCCAGGCCCTGGCGTCCTGGCCACCTGTGACCCCGGGCTCCCCGCCCCGGCTTCCCCTCCCCCACCCCACACAGCCACCGGCGAGGGCACCTGGCCACGGGGCTGCCAGGCCGGGCTCTCTCCTCCCGCCCGCCCTCAGGTCCCGGTGTCGGCTGGGGGGTGGGAAGGGGAGGCTGGGGTGTGGGTGGAGGGAGGTGTGGATCCGTCCAGCCCACAATCCCTGAGCTGCACCCCAGCCAGGCCTCCCCACCCCAGGAGGCAGGCTCTGAGGACCGCCTCTTGTTTCCGGAAGGAGCCCCTGGGAGGAGAGGAGAGGCCCCCCCACCTCAGTTTCCTCATCTGTAAAGTGGGCGCGGATGACACCTTCCCTGGCGGGGAGGCCGGATCGATGGACCTGGGATGCAGGAGGCCGGGGCCCTGCATGAACTTGGCCCAAGGGCCGGCCCAGACCTCTAGGTTGGCTTTGGGCCCCACACGGAGGTCAGCAACACCCCCCCCCCCCTCCCCAGCCACCTGCCCACTCCCGGGAGGAGGGGACAGGACGCAGGGAGGGTGAGGGGCTCAAGGGATGGGGCCTGGTGATCCTGGGAGCAGTCGAACGGGGGTGTCAGATGGCATGGCCTGGGGGGGACCCTCGCCACCCAGAAAGCATCTGGAGAGGCTGGGGACCCACCGGGAGAGACGCGGGGCGGGGGGCCTCGGGAGCCGGGGGGACAGTGGCCGGGCCGCCTCCTGCCTCTGAAATGGCCCTGTGACCTGCGGCCAGTCCCTCCCAGGCCAGGCCCTCGGGGCACAGGCCCTCCCGCCCCCACGGGGCAGCGCCCCCGCCCCCACGCGGGCAGCGCCCCGCCCCCACGCTGGCAGCGCCCCGCCCCCACGCGGGCAGTGCCCATGGACTGGAGCCCGGGGTTGGGGTTGGGTTTCAGGCCTCCGTCTGCGCATGAATAATGCAGCTGCCGAGATTGGAAGGTGACCTCAGGGGTTCCCCCAGAGCCGGCCCTGCCATCCCACACGGGGTTCCCTGCTGGCTGGCCCTGCCCAGCCTCTGCTGTGCTGGTGGGGGCACCCAGGGCGGGGGGATGGCGCCCAGGGTGGGGGGAGGGCTCCCAGGGCGGGGGGAGGGCGCCCAGGGCGGGGGGAGGGCTCCCAGGGCGGGGGGAGGGCGCCCAGGGCGGGGGGAGGGCGCCCAGGGCGAGGGGAGGGCTCCCAGAGCGGGGGGGGGGCGCCCAGGGTGAGGGGAGGGCTCCCAGGGCGAGGGGAGGGCTCCCAGGGCGAGGGGAGGGCTCCCAGAGCGGGGGGGGGGGCGCCCAGGGTGAGGGGAGGGCGCCCAGAGCGGGGGGGGGGCGCCCAGGGTGAGGGGAGGGCGCCCAGGGTGAGAGGAGGGCTCCCAGAGTGAGGGGAGGGCTCCCAGAGCGGGGGGAGGGCGCCCAGGGTGAGGGGAGGGCTCCCAGAGCGGGGGGAGGGCTCCCAGAGCGGGGGGGGGGCGCCTAGGGTGAGGGGAGGGCTCCCAGGGTGAGGGGAGGGCGCCCAGGGCGAGGGGAGGGCTCCCAGGGCGGGGGGAGGGCGCCCAGGGTGAGGGGAGGGCTCCCAGGGTGAGGGGAGGGCTCCCAGGGTGAGGGGAGGGCTCCCAGAGCGGGGGGAGGGCAGCTGGGGGGGTGAGGGGGCAGCGGGGGCACCTGTGAGATGAGACACAGGGACGGGCTGCCTCCGACGGGGCCCGGGGTGGAGCCTGCAGCCGAGGCTCCTGTCCGGACCAGAGTCGAACCTGGCCCTCCTGTCCCGGACGTCGCTCTGTCCGAGGAGCACACGGCGGCTCCACAGGTCTCCCTGTGACCCCCTCACCCTGAACCCCGTCCGTCCATCTGACCGAGCTCCGCAGAGTGCGGCCCGGAGCCGGGGCCAGGCTGCCGGCTCCCCCCCAGCCAGGGCGTGGGTGCGGGGGGCAGTCCCCCTGCTGCCCCCGGGGGCGGACATGGGCCACCTCTGCGGGAGGCCCCTCCCTCCAGGGCCCGGAGCCCGGGCCGGGCTGGCACCCCCCTGAGAGCCCAAATGTCCGCGGCCCCAGGCCCGCCGGGCAGGCGGCCCCCCGGCTGCCCCCTCGCTCAGGCAGGGAGGCCGCCCGCCCTGCCAGCCCGGGTCCCGCCGGCCGCTCTGTACCCCCCCACCCGGCGCCCCTCCGGGCGGGCTGTGGGGCGTCGCTGAGCAGCCGGCCTGGCTCCCCGGAGCTCTGGCTGGGGAGCCGCTTCCTGGACACACGTTCTCGGGGGGAGGGGCCCACGGGGCTGCCCTGGTGCAGGAGCTGCAGACGCCGGGTCCTTGGACAGGGACGTGGGCAGACAGGAAGCAGCTGTCACCCCCTGATGGGCAGTGACCAATGGGGGTGCCAGGAGCTTCCGATCTGTCCGGGGCCGGGGCAGGCAGTTCCGGCAGCGGAGGGGGGTCAGCCCGGGGCCGGGACCCACAGGACAGCGCGGTGCCCCCCGGTCTGTGGAGGCTGCGGGCCTGTGGGCGGGAGGGGAGAGGAGGGCGGGAGGGCGGCTGCTCGCTCGCTTGCTCAGTAGCTCGGGGAGCTGAGCTCAGCGCCTCTGACCAGGGCCTCAGGGACCATTAACCCTCCGGGCGCCGGAGACCGGTACTCACCGCTCCGCGCCCTCCGCCGCCCTCACGGCCCCCTGGGTCCCCGGAGACCCGAACTCACCGCTCCGCCCCCTCCGCCGCCCTCACGGCCCCCTGGGTCCCCGGAGACCCGAACTCACCGCTCCGCCCCCTCCGCCGCCCTCACGGCCCCCTGGGTCCCCGGAGACCCGAACTCACCGCTCCGCCCCCTCCGCCGCCCTCACGGCCCCCTGGGTCCCCGGAGACCCGAACTCACCGCTCCGCCCCCTCCGCCGCCCTCACGGCCCCCTGGGTCCCCGGAGACCCGAACTCACCGCTCTGCCCCCTCCGCCGCCCTCACGGCCCCCCGGATCCCGGCTGCTCCCAACCACCGCGGCCCTGGGCCCCACCGGAGCCTCCGACCCTGGCGCCAGCTCGGCTGTGGTTGGGGTGATCCTGGGGGGCCAGGCCGGCTGGTCAGCGACGCCCGCACAGCGAGGGGCCTGGGCAGACCCGAGGCGCTGGGGGGGGGGGGCAGTACAGCCAGCGTGACCCCGGGCTGGGCTGGCCTGAGCATGGGGTGCGCGTGGAGGGGCGCGGGGGGGCGCGGGGGTTTGGAATCTGGCAGCTTTGGCATGCTCGCACATGGTGTTTTGTGGAAGAGCCACATTCAAGGGGCCAAAGAGCCACATGTGGCTCGCGAGCCAGTTTGCCGACCACAGGGCTAGGTAGGGTTCAGACTAGGTTTAGGGCCAGAGTTATGGTTAGGGTTAGAGTTAAGGTTAGGGATAGGATTAGGGTTAGTGTTAGGATTTGGTTTCGGAGTAGGGTTATGGTTAGGATTTGGGTTAGGGATAGGGGTAGAGGTAGGGGTAGGGATAGGATTAGGGTTAGGGTTACGGTTAGGGCTAAGGGTAGGGGTAGGGGTAGGATTCATGTGTAGAACTGTTGCAGGAGGGAAGAGGCGGTGTACGGTGTTCCTGGGCGGGTCCGGGAAGCCCCGTTTCTGGCTGAAGAAGTTGGAACTGGGGGCTTGATCAGACATCGGTGTGTGGTTTGGTGAGTGATGGCATTTCTGACTCTGCAGGGCTTTTCCCTGTGCACTGGCGGCTCCTGTGTCCACTGGCCTTGACTCGGGACTAGAGATCCCATTCTGTCTGTTCTGCAGTCCGGCGGGCGCGGGCGGGGCAGCTGGGGGGGGGCTGGGGGGGTGGGGGGAGGCTGGAGGCGGGGCGGCTGGGGATGGGGAGGCTGGGAGGGAGGCTGGGTGGGGTGGGGGGAGGCTGGGGGCGGGGTGGCTGGGGACGGGGAGGCTGGGAGGGAGGCTGGGGTGCCGTGGGGGTAGGCTGGGGGCGGGGAGACGGGGTGTGGTGGGGGTGGGGGGTTGGGGGAGAGGCTGGGAGGGAGGCTGGGGTGTGGTGGGGGTAGGCTGGGGGCGGGGTGGCTGGGGGTGGGGAGGCTGGGGGCGGGGAGGCTAGGGGTGTGGGCTGGGGGGAGGCTGGGGTGGGGTGGGGGCAGGTGTCGGTCTCAGAGGTAAGCACCGGGTAATGAATGGCCGGGCCGGTGCGGACGGGCTGTGGAGCCGCCAGGCCGGCTGCAGCATTATGAAGCTAATGGATTTTTGAAGCCAGATTGATTTTTCATTAATTTGGTAAAAATCTTTTCCTCTCCCTATAATTCTGTCTTAAAACGCTCCCCCTGACAGCTCGATAAGTCACTCCGGCCTAATGCACGTCTGGCTCGTCCACAGGGCGGGGGGCCCTCGGCCAGGTAAAGGGGCCCTCGGCCAGGCCCCCAGGGGCCCTCAGTCAGCCGCTGGGAACAGCCCAGGCCCAGGCCCAGGCCCCGGGAGCGGAGCAGCTGAGGCTGGGGACTCGGTGCCAGCCCAGGCCTCCGGGCCAGCCTGCTCCCACAGCTCCGGCCTTGGTCTTGGGGTGTCCCCGCACCCAGACCAGAGGGCCCTGGCCCTGGCCCGCACGCCCACCCCACCCTCCAGAGGCCTCAGGCCCAGAGCCAGCCCACAGCTCCAGCCCCCACCTCTGAGGGGACGGCCCTGGGCGGGGGAGGGGGAGGGGGGACACAGTGACCCCTCCCTCCGCCCCCCGCAGCTCCTCCTCCTCTCCCTCTGCCCCCTGGACATGGCTCAGCCCCCTGCCCCGTTCCAGGCATTTCTCCTCGAGAGCCCCCTCCCAGGCTTTTCTGGGGTCTCCAGACTGCCCCCACCAGGGGCCCCCCGGACGATGCACGGAGGCTCTGGGATGGGGGAGGGGGCAGAGGGGCAGAAGGGGCAGCCTCCGGCCAGACAACCTGAGCCCCCGGCCCAGCCACGTGCCTGGCATCCAGGGCGGGCAGCCTGCCCACTGGGCACTGCTCTCGGCCGCCGGCTGAGCCCACCATCCTCCAGCCCAAGGCCCTGCCGGTTACGTCCGTCCTACAGAGGGACAGGGGCCGGCTGCCGCCCCGGGGGAGGCCCTATCGGCGTCACCTGGCTCCGGGCAGCCTGCTTGCCTCTGGCCCCCGCCAGGCCTCTCCTGTGGGGTAATCCGGGAGGACCTCACCCCGTTCTCACGTGTAAAAACCCTTTTTCTTTCTTTTTAAAAAGATGTTTTATTGATTTCTTACAGAGGAAGAGGGGAATAGCGTTGGAAGCATCCATGGGAAACATCGATCACACCCACTGGGGAGATGCCCACAACCACCGTACACGCCCTTGACCGGAGTCGAACCCCAACCCTTTCAGTCCACAGCCGACCCTCTATCCACCGAGCCAAGCAGTCAGGGCCCCTTTTTCTTTTTTCATGAAATATATTTTTATTGATTTCAGAGAGGGAGAGAGGGAGAAGCATAGAAACATCAATGATGAGAATCACTGACCAGCTGCCCCCTGCACTCCCATCACACCCACAACCCGGCAGGTGCCCTGACCTCCGGGTTCGGGTGGGACCTCCACCCCTGAGCCCGCGGCCGGACTGGAGACCTTTCCGAACAGGGACGGTCACAGGTTCCCGGGCCGAACCTCCGGGCCCCCATTGAGCCCCCCCTCTGGCCTCACCCGGCGGGCTGCCCAGCAGGCCTCGCCTTCCCTCCTGGGCGCCCCACCTCGGGGTCCCGGGCCTGCGGGGGGCAGAGGAGGTGGCTGCAGCTTTGGGCGTCTCCCCCTCGGACCGGCCGGGGACCCCAGCGCCCGCTCCTGCGGGTCCAGCCGGGGCGGGCACTGGGCAGGGGTTTGGAGGGGCCGGGGGCGAGGGGTGGGAGCCTGGAGGAGGGGGCCCTGGGCGGGGCAGGGGGAGGCTGGGGAGGGACCTTCCAGGTGCGCCCCGCTCCGGGGCCTCCTCCGCGGCCCCCGCCAGCCCCGGTCCCCCGCGCCAGGCCGGCTGCTGACCCAGCGGAACGGTCGCTCCTCCGCTTCCTGTCGGCGGAGCAGAAAGGCGGCTCCGGGCTCGGGACCCACCTGCGGGCCGCCCGGCCCCCTGCCCCCAGCCCGGCCCCCTGCCCCCGGCCCCGCCCGCAGCCCGGCCCCCTGCCACCGCCCGGCCCCCTGCCCCCAGCCCGGCCTCCTGCCCCCGGCCCCGCCCGCAGCCCGGCCCCCTGCCACCGCCCGGCCCCCTGCCCCCAGCCCGGCCTCCTGCCCCCGGCCCCGCCCGCAGCCCGGCCCCCTGCCACCGCCCGGCCCCCAGCCCGGCCTCCTGCCCCCGGCCCCGCCCCCCGGCCCGGCCCCCTGCCCTCAGCCCGGCCCCCTGCCCTCAGCCCGGCCCCCTGCCGCCAGCCCGGCCCCCAGCCCCCGGCCCCGCCCGCAGCCCGGCCCCCTGCCCTCAGCCCGGCCCCCTGCCCCCGCCCGGCCCCCTGCCCCCGGCCCCGCCCGCAGCCCGGCCCCCAGCCCGGCGGGAGCGGACACGGCGCGGGCCGGACAGGGGCTGAGCCCACGGGCGGCCTGTCCGGGAGGCGCCGGCGGGACCGCGGGGGCGGGGGAGCCGGGAGGGGGGCTCCCCGGTGCAGAGCGGACCCTGCGGGGCTCCCTCTCCGCTTTGTCACCAAACCGATCCCCGCGGGGGTGCCCTGGGCCGGTCCGCTGAGGCCTCCTCCCCGGGGCGGGCGGGTCCCCGGACACACGGAACCCCGGCCGCCCCCGCCCCGCCGGGACCGGGACCCGGACCCGGACAACAGCACCGAGGCGGGAGGGTGGCGGGCGCGCTGGGGGCACAGGCCGCTCCCGATGGGAACCCACAGCCGGGAGGGGGGAGGGAGGAGGGGGAATTGAGGAGGAGGGAGGGGGAGGGGGGAGGAGGGAGGAGGGAGGGGGGAGGAGGGAGGAGGGAGGAGGGAGGAGGGGGGGAAGGAGGGGGAAGAGGGGCGGGATCCGCCCCTGCAGATCCCGCATCCGCGCAGGAGCGGGCGGCGGCTGCCCCCTGGTGGCCACAGCGATCCCTGACTAGCAGGCCCCCAACCCCAACCTGCCCGGGGGACAGCCCCCCCCCCTTTTAAATCCTCACCCCAGGACGTGTGTGTGTGTGTGTGTGTGTGTGTGTGTGCGCGTGTGTGTGTTTAACTGACTTTTAGAGGAAGAGAAAGAGGGAAACATCAATATGAGAAAGGACTGGTGCTGAGGTGTCCCAACCAGGGATCAAACCCACAGCCCCTAGGTGTGTGCCTGGGGATCAAACTGGCAACCTTTTGCTGCACTGAGGGCTCCCCAACCAGCTGAGCCCCCTCCATCCTCAGCCGGCCAGCCACTGGCCTCCCCCTGGACGGAGGCCCCCTGAGGCCCTCCCTCTAAATGCAAGGGAAGCCCGGCCGGTGTGGCTCAGTGACTGCATCAGCCGTGAAGCAGGAGGCCCGTCCGACCCGTCAGGGCCACTCGGGGCAGGTGAGGGAGCTGAGGACTCCGTCTGAGGAGGGGTGAGCGCGGGAGGGGCGGGCGGGGCACCCCTCGGTGAGAAGGCCTCAGGGCAGGCTCCTGGCCCCCACATGCCCAGCAGGGGACACAGCAGGCCCGCCCGCCCCAGGGAAGACAGGGCGATGGAGCCTGGGGGCCAGGGAGGCGAGCCTGGTGTGGCTGAGGTGCCTGGCAGGTGTGCTGGGCCCAGGGTGGACCCCGCCCTGAGGGACATGGGCAGAGCGGGGCCTGGGGGGTGGCAGGAGGGAGAGGCCGGCTGGGGCCTGGGAGGCCACCATGGGGGAGTGAGGACCTGGCTGCAGGGACCCACTGCTGACCCCCACCCGGTGGCTCCTTCAGCTCAAGGACAGCGGCAGACCCCCCCCCCCCAGCAGCCCCCTCAGCCCGGCCGGCGAGTGGGCAGCCCGTCCCCACGGCTGACATCTCATCTGACACCGTCTTTAATGGCAGTGGGCACGGCGGGCAGCAAACCGGCTGGAAGGTCCTCCGGGGCCGGAGGGCAGGAAGGGGAGCCGCCCCTCAGCCCCTGGGGCAGCAGGGGAGGGCGGAGCAGCTCAGGGCTGGGGGGGCCGGGGACAGCCGCCCGCCCGGCCTGCCCCTCTTGGCCTTGCGGCTCCAGCCGAGCAGGGGCCTGGGGCTGGCTCTCGGGGCCGCAGGCTCCCAGCTACGCTCCTGGTTCCGCAGAAGCCCCCGCAGTGCCGGCCGGCGGTCCCCCTGCGGCCGAGAAGGCACAGGGTCAGCAGCCGGGCAGAGGGGTGTGGGGGGCATGGAGGGGGGGGGCACGGAGGGGGGGGGGCACGGAGGGGGGGGCGGGGGGAGGGGGGTATGGGGGCAGGGGAGGGGGGTTGGGGCAGGGAGGGGGTGTGTGGGGCAGGGAGGGGGGTGGGGCAGGAGGGGGTGTGTGGGGGCACGGAGGGGGGTGGGGCAGGGGGGGTGGGGCAGGGAGGGGGGTGGACACGGAGGGGGGTGGGGGCAACGGAGGGGTGGGCAGGGGAGGGGGGGGGGGGCAGGGAGGGGGTGTGTGGGGCACGGAGGGGGGTGGGGCAGGGGGGTGGGGCAGGGAGGGGGGGGGACACGGAGGGGGGTGTGGGGCACAGAGGGGGGTGTGGGGCACAGAGTGGGGGGTGGGGCACGGAGGGGGGTGTGGGTCATGCTGGCCCCGGGCAGGGGGCTCACCGTGCCCGGGGGCTCGGCGCCGGGCAGCAGGGAGGCCACCTGCAGGCTCACGCCCTCGGCGCCCACGCCCTTGAGCCGCGCCACCACCTCCGCGTGCTTCCACCAGCGGCTCGGCTGCCCGTCCACCGACACGATGTAGTCGCCCTCCCGGAGGCCGGCCGCCTGTGGGGAGGGCACTCGGTCCGGCCCGGCACCCACCCCTCCTCCCAGCCTGTGCTCCCCGCACCCCTCCCCCCCAGCACCCCCCTTCCCCCCTTCCCCCTCCCCTTCCCCCGCACCCCCTTCTCCCTCCCACACCCCTCCCCCCTCCTCCCGCACGCCCCCGCACCCCCTTCCCCCTCCCCTTCCCCCCCGCACCCCCTTCTCCCTCCCACACCCCTCCCCCCTCCCCACGCACGCCCCCGCACCCCCTTCCCCCCTCCCCTTCCCCCGCACCCCCTTCGCCCTCCACACCCCTCCCCCCCTCCCCACGCACGCCCCCCGCACCCCCTTCCCCCTCCCCTTCCCCCTCACCCCCTTCTCCCTCCCACACCCCCTCCCCCCGCACCCCCGCACCCCTCCCCTCCCCCCCGCACCCCTCTCTCCTCCCCCCCCCGCACCCCCCTTACCGCAGCGCGGCCCCCGGGGTTCACGGCCGCGATGAGCACGGGCGCGTCGCCCCGCAGCGTGAAGCCGAAGCCGCCCTCCCCGCGGGCCAGGTGCACGGGGCCCAGCAGCCGCCAGCGGTTCCGGGCTGAGAACACGGACGGCGGCCCCTGGGGGGCCCGGGTCAGGCCGGGCCGGCGCCCCCCGCCCCCCGCCATCCGGGCAGGACCAGGGGTGCGGGCCCGGGCTCACCAGCCGGTGGAAGATGTCCGCTACCTTCACCCGCGAGAAGCTGGGGGCCCGCGCCTCCGGCCGCCGGTGCGTCCGGGCTGAAGGGACGAGGGGCTGAGTCCGCGGCTCCGGCCGGGACACGTCCCTCCCGCCGCCCGGGCCTGGCTGCACCCCCGGCCGGAGGAGCCGGCGGTTCCACCCGGTACCGGAGCCGCCCGGCCGGGGCTTTGTCTCCGGGCAGCCAGGGGGAGGGGGGCAGCCAGGGGGAGGGGGCAGCCAGGGGGAGGGGGGCAGCCAGGGGAGGGGGGCAGCCAGGGGGAGGGGGGCAGCCAGGGGGAGGGGGCAGCCAGGGGGAGGGGGGCAGCCAGGGGGAGGGGGCAGCCAGGGGGAGGGGGGCAGCCAGGGGGAGGGGGCAGCCAGGGGGAGGGGGGCAGCCAGGGGGAAGGGGGCAGCCAGGGGGAGGGGTGCAGCCAGGGGGAGGGGGCAGCCAGGGGGAGGGGGCAGCCAGGGGGAGGGGGCAGCCAGGGGGAGGGGGGCAGAGCAGCGGCAGGGGGGTGTCCCCGGCGCCCGCTCCTCCGCCTCCCAGCAGCTGCCGGGGGCCCGCCCCCCCCCCCACCGGCACCCCTTCCACCCCCACCCCCACCCCCCCCACCGGCACCCCCCCCACCCCCCCCCACCTAGGACACCCCCCCACGCCGCTGCTCACGCGGGATGTCGGGGGCCTCGGGGGCCTCGAAGAAGTCGTCCTCCAGGTCCAGCGCCGAGTACTGGGCCAGCGAGCGCCGCAGCGCCTGGGCCAGCACCGCCTGCAGCGGGTCCACGCGGCGCAGGGCGCGGCCCACGGCGTGCAGCCGCAGCGCCGCCTCCTGGCCCAGGATGGCGCGCCGCAGGTGGGCCTTGCCTGCGGGCCGCACAGCCCATCGCACGGCGCCCTGCGAGCCCCCAAACCCCGTCCCCCCAAACCCCCGGCCCCCGCGAGCCTCCAAACCCCCGCCCTGCGGGGTCCCCCTCCCTCCCCTCCCCTCCCCGCCCGCACCCAGAGGCACAGGGAGCCGCCCGTTGCCCCCCTCACCCAGCTTCCTGCGCTCCTCCGGCTCCCGCGGCAGCGCCAGGGCGGGGCGCTGGGGCTCAGGGCGGTCCGGGGGCTCCGGGTGGACCTCCTGCTCCCGCACCGGGAGCTCCGCCTCGGCCGCTGGGGTCAGAGCGGGCCGTGAGCCCCGACACTGAGGCCCCCCTCCCGCATGCACAGCCCCCCCCCGCACACACGCACGCACAGCCCCCCCGCACGCACAGCCCCCCCGCACGCACACACGCACGCACAGCCCCCCCGCACGCACACACGCACGCACAGCCCCCCCGCACGCACACACGCACGCACCGCCCCCCCCCCCCGCACGCACCGCGGGGCGGGCACTCACGGGCGCCGCCGCACAGGACCGTGGCCGCGTGGACGTGCGCCAGGGCGCGGAAGTGCTCGGCCTTGACCATCACCAGCGCGCTCCAGGCGAACGGCACGTAGTCGCGGACGGGCGGCTGCGCCATGGCCCGGCGCACCTGCTCGTACTCGGCCGCCACCTGCCAGGCCCGGGGCAGGACTGAGCCCGGCCAGGCCCGGACAGATCCCCGCAGCCTCAGCCGCCCCCACCTGGGGCCAGCCTCACCGGACGGCCCCCGCGGGTTCCAGCCTGGGCCTGTGCCCAGTCCTGTTCTGGTCAGTGCCTCCCGGAGCTGGACTGGGGGTGGGCTGGGGTCTCCCGGGGACAGGGTGCGTCCTCACCTGGGCGGCCTCCTGCGCCAGCCGCAGCTGGGCCGGGCAGTCGTGGGGGGCGGCGGGCGCCGGGAGCGAGAGCCCCTCGAAGACGCACTCCTGGGCCTGGGCGGCCATGAGCTGCTCCAGCACGCGCAGCGAGGCGGGGCTCATGTCGGGGCTCGGCGCCTGCGAGAACTTCTCCCGCAGGAGGCTGAAGGCGCCTGCGGAGGGTGCTCACAGCGCGGGGCAGGTGCCCGCACCCCAGCCCGGCCCGCACACCGGCACCGGCTCCGCCCCTCCCGCGGGGTCCGCCCCGCCCTCACCTGCCGCCCTCCTGGAAGGCCTCGGCCGCCCGGCCGGCGCCCCCGGGGCAGGAGCGGTCCTGGCGCGCCCCGATCTGCGTGTGCAGCGCCCCGATGTTGAAGAGCACGCTGCCCTTCTCGAAGGCCAGCGACCGCTGCTGGGCGGGGACCCCCGTGAGCGAGTCGTACCTGCGGGAGGGTCAGGGGTGGGGTTCCGAGGCAAAGCCCGGGAGACGGGACGGGTGCGGGCGGGAGGCCCTACCAGTGGAACAGCAGCCCCAGGCCCCGGGCCGGGCTGAGGAAGCGGGCGTCCAGCAGGCAGAGCTGGTTGTAGTAGGCCATGAGCAGCTCCAGGCCGGCCTCGCTGCGGCTGGGCGTCCGCACGGCCTGCGGGGGGGGGGGGGGGGCGCTGTGACCCCCTCCGGCCATCCCCACGCTCCCACCGCGCGCCGCCCGGCCAGCCCAGCCCGGGGAGCAGCCGTCTGGAGCGCAGGGGGCCTCACATTCGCCCCAGGAGCCCAGGTCCGTGAGGGAGAGGCAGGCCCCTGGGGAGGGACGGGCGGGGCAGCCCTTCCCTGAGGGCCGGGGCCGGGTTTGGGCGCTGGCAGGCGTGGGAGCCACACTGAGCCGACCCCCCTGCCCCTGGGGCTGGTCCACAGCGAGCCCCGTCCTGCTGCCGGGACGGAGCCCGGGGAACCAGGGCGAGCGGACCACCTGCCGCAGGTCGGCCAGCTCCCGGATCTCCGCCTCGTAGGTGGCGCCGTCCTCTCCGAAGCGCTCCGAGATCAGCTCCTGGGGGGAGGGGCGCTGGTCTTCCCCCGAGTCTCCCGGCCCCACGGGGGGGAACCCCGCCCCAGGCCCTCCTGGCCACCCTCCCACCCTCGGGCCCAGAGACTCGGCGGGTGCTAACCCCTGGGTGGCAGGGCCCGCCGGGCAGTGGCCAGCGGGACAGGAGGCAGTGGGACCCTCGGAGGGAGAGTGGGGCCCCGGGGCTCCGGGCAGGAGGACAGCTTCTCCAGAGCCTCCCAGGCAGGACCCCGAGCTGGAGAGGGGATCCCCAGGCCGGACGCTGCCCTCGGCCTGTTTCCCGTCCATCCAGTGAGACGGCCGGACCAGGGAGCCGCCAGGACCCCGCCCGCCCGCACTCACCCTCAGGGCTGCTGACCAGTCCAGCTCCTGTGTCTCCTTCAGCCCCAGGGGGATCAGCGGGACAGCGACGCCTCCACTGGAACCAGAGGGGCGCGCCCTGAGGCTGCCGGTGCGCCCCGGCCACGGAGGCCCCCACACACCTCCCCCACTCCGAGCAGCCTGCACACCCACACATGCCACACCACGCAGGGCTGCCCGGGGCATGTGCCTCCCACACTGCATGCACACACACACACACACACACACACACACGCACGCACACACGCACGCACACCCGTGTCCACCCCCACGCGTGCTCGCACCTCCCGGGCCCATCGGCGTCGGCGTCTGTGCCACAGTCCAGCTCCTCCAGCTCCTCCTTCAGCAGCTGCAGGCTGGAGTTGACGTAGCTCAGCTCCTGGGCCACGGTCTCCCTGACGCGGCTGTTGCTGGTGGCTCTGGAGGGCCGGGCGGGGGTGAAGCCAGCTCGGGGTGGGCCTCAGGCCCGGGCCCCGCGGGAGCCTCGCCCCCCCCCCCGAGTCCCCTGGGGGCAGCAGCGGGGTCCAGGCCACGAGGCGGCCCCCTCCCCCGAGTCGCCCGTGGCATGTGCGGGTCTTGGCTGTCCCACGGCCTCCAGGGCGCCCCTCCCCTGCTCCCCTGCCTCCCCCGGCCCAGGCCGTGCCCACTGCCGACCCTCGAACCCACTTCCCAGGGCGGGTTGACCTCAGTGCCGCATCTGGTGCCCAGAGGGGCGAGGTCCCTGGAAGGCCCGGCCCGCGGCCGCTGCCCAGGCCTGTGCCCACCTGTACAGGTTCTCGGCGCCCGCCCGCATGCGGAGCTCCTTGCTGATCTGCTGGTGGACGCGGGCCCTGCGGCTCTGCAGCCCGCCTCGCTGCGCCTGCGCCAGGGGGTCGCCGCCCTGCACGGGGCCACGGTCACAGGCTCAGCATGCCGCCCGCCTGGCATGGAGCCTGGGCTCGGTGATGCCAGAGGAGGGCGGGGGCCAGCAGCAGCGTGCGGGGGCTCTGGTCTCGGCCCAGCCTGGACCCACCTCTGGGAGCCAGAAGCTCCCCACGCAGCCCCCCAACACAGCTGTCCAGCGCCGTCGGCGGGAGGGGAGCCAGGACGGTGACCGAGGCCTGGCGCTGGCTCTCGGGCCTCCCCTCCGAGCGGCGAGGCCCCTGCGCCTGAGGCTCTGCCGGGCTCCGCCTCTCGGCCGCGCAGGGCCCGGTGACGAGCGTTCCCCGTCCAAAGCCCTCGGGGGGAGCGGGCGGAGAACGGAGAAGCAGCCCCCTCACACCCCTGCCTCAGCCCTGGCCCTGGCCCTGGCCCTACCCTAACCCCAACCCCTAACCCCTAACCCTACCCTACCCTACCGGAGGGGCTGGCGCTCGCTGCCGGAAGCTCTGGGCTGCGGCCCCAGCAGCCAGGAGGAAACAGGGGCGGAGGGGTGAGGGAACAGCGGAGGACAGTTATGTCAGCACAGGCCGCCTGGAACAAACAGCAGGGCCCCCCCCCCCAGGCTCCCCACCCAGGTTCCCAGGGAGCAGCCCTCAGGCCTGGCGGACCAGCTTCCCCTCTGAGCCCTGGGTTTTGCCCCGATGCCCAGCCTCCCCCACCTCAGGGAACCCCGCCCTCCTTGGTCTCACCTGGACACCCCAAGGAGGGGGGCCCAGCATCCCACCCCCACCTCTGCCATCCCCCAACCCAGCTGCCAGGCCACGGCGGCTGCAGCCACGCCCATGCCAGGTGGACCCAGGCCCAGGCCCCTCAGGCTGCGGGGGACCCCCGCCCTCCCCCACAGGCTCTCTGAGGCTCACTGGGCCTTCAGATGGCCCCACTCCCAGGCCCTGCTAACTGGGCCGCTGCTCCTCACTGGGCCCTTCCTGGTGCTGGGAGTCCCCACAGGACACAGGGCCCGGGACCCACTGGCACCCGCTCTCAGCACTGGGGGCGGAGACACCCACACTGGAGCATCCTCTGGGCTCCAGGACCGGCCTTCCCCCAGCCCGGCAGAGGGGCAGGTGAGACCTCCAGGGAGTGACATTCCCCCAGCCCGGCAGAGGGGCAGGTGAGACCTCCAGGGAGTGACATTCCCCCAGCCCGGCAGAGGGGCAGGTGAGACCTCCAGGGAGTGACATTCCCCCAGCCCGGCAGAGGGGCAGGGAGTGAGAGCCACGAGGCAACAGGAGTGTCTGAGGGTGTGCGGGGCACCATCCAGGCTGCGGCACCCAGCTCCACCCCCGCTCCCAGGCCACCGCCACCCACCCCACCCAGCTCCCACCCAGCTCCCAGCCCAGGCCTCCTGGGGCGCAGCCGGGAGAGCAGGCTGGGAAGTTCCAGCGCCTTCCCGCGGTGCCGGGGGCAGAGCGCCCTCGGGGACACCGGTGCGAGCAGCCTCCCCGGCATTCCACGGGCAGCGCGTGCCAGGGCGGCGGGAAGCGGGTCACGAAGGGCAGTGCCCAGGCTCGGCCGCCCAGGGTGCTCCCCCACAGCTGCGCGCACCGCAGCTCCGGGGAGGGGCGCCCTCCGGGGTCCGGTCCAGCACGTGGCTGGTGACCCGGCCCATGTCCCACCAGACCCCCCTTCGCCCCGGAGGGCCCGGCCGCACAGAGCTGGACGCGCGGAGGGCGCGCCGGGCAGCCGGGAGGGCAGCCCTGGAGCCGGCCCCAGCCCGCAGCGCCGGGCGGGAGGGCCTCGCGGGCGGGGTGCAGGGAAGGGACGGGAGGACGCCGCCGCCCGCGAGGCTCCCAGCCGTTTCCTGTCCCCGCGAGGCTGCACCCCACGCCGGGGCCGGGCCGGGCCGGGCCGGGGGCTGTAGGAAGGTACCCCGAGCCCGGCCGTCCCCGACCGGACCGCACCTGCCGACCAGGGACCCGGGACGCGGAGCTGGGATGGCGCCCTCCGCTCCCCGGCCCCCCGGGAGGGGCCTCCGCCTCCTTCCGCACTTGATCCCCACCGGCCAGGGCGGAGCCGGCGCAGGCCATTGCCGCGGGGTCCGCGCCTCAGTTTCCCCCTTGCCTTTCGGGACGCGCGGGGTGCGGGTGGCGGCCGCCGGGAGTCTGGCTCCCATCGCGCGGGACAGGGAGCCGCGCCGCGGACCCAGCCGCGCGCCCCCCGCTCCGGCGCCCTCCTCCCGGCGCCCCGCCCCGGGCGCCCACCTTGCGGCCGCCGTCGGCCGCCTGCAGCCGGGGCTCTCCTCGCCGGCGCCCGGGCCGCCCGGCCTCTCCTCCGGGACCATCGCCGCCGCCGCTCGGGCCGCGCCCGCCTGGAAGCCGAGGCCGCGCAGGGCGCTCCCAGGCCGCGCCGGGTCCGCACGGTCGGCTCCCCGGTGGCGGCCCCGCGGACGGGAGGGGCGTGGCGGCCCGCGCCGAGCGTGCGAAACTTTCCGCTGCCCAATCGGATCGGCGGCGGCCCCGACGGACAGCAGCCTCGGCCAACCAGAGAGCGAAGGAGGTGGCCCCGGGCGCTCAGGCTCCGCCCGCCCACCCGCGGAGTCCTGGGGGAATGCGGTCGCCCTGGCAACCGCCCGGCCCGACGCCGAGCTCGGCCGCGGGGCGCGCAGTGCGCGTGCGCGGGCGGCGCGGAGCGAGCGGAGAAGTTGGAGGAAAAAGGAAAAGTAAAAAAACAGTGAAACCCTCGCCGCTCCCGGCCCCACCCTCGGCCGCCTCCCGCGGCTCCCTCCCGGCGCGGGTTTCTGCCGTCCTCGGCGGCGGGGCCTCGGGGCTGGTCCACCGGTGCCCGGGGGGTTAACGGTTCTGGAGGTTTGCGAGGCCGCTTCCTCCCGGCCGCTCCGGGGGTGAGCGCCGCAGGTCCGGCCCCCAGGACCTGCCCCAGAGCCCCTGCAGCTCCACAACCCGCTTCGCAGCTGACTGAACCGCCCGTGTCCGGCTTGTGCGCCAGAACCTGCGCCCGCCGGCCCCCCCCCTCCCCCGAGTTCCCGGGGCCTCGGGAGCCGCTCGGCTCCGGTGGGTCCGCCCCACCAGGAACACACCTTTGTGGCGCCGGAACCCCGGAGCCGAGCCGAGGCTAATCTGTTATCAGGTTCCCTCTAAGGTTCCGCCCCGGGGGCCGGGCGCTGAGCCTGCGGCGCCCGCACAGGGTCTCCTTCCTCCCGGCTGAGCCTGTGGCTGGCCCCGCCCGGCGCCGCAGGCACAGGAGCAGCGGCCCGAGGCCGAGAAATCCGACCGTGTTGCCGGCTGAGCGCGCTCCTCAGCGCCATAGCGAGGCACCCAGCTGTCCCGGGGCCGGGCCCACGGGGGCGGGGGCGGGGGCGGGTGTGTGTGTGTGTGTGTGTGTGTGTGTGTGTGAATCTTGTTGGTCGGATGTGGATGCGATGCCCAGTCGTCAGCTCCCATCAGCTCCCGGAGCCACGCAGGCGGCGCAGGGAGGGAGCTGCTGAGCGGGTCTGAGAATTGGGCCCTTCCCAGCAGAGGGTCGCAGGGGACCAGTGGGCCATAAAGAACAGCCACTTAGAAGTGAAAAGATATTTCTAAATGAGGTCTGAGTTAAAAGAAAATTAAAAGACAAAATAGTACAACACCTAAAAAGTAACTAGAAAGTAAATAGCATCCTTTAGCCTTTTGTAATACGTAACACCGTATATAAACTAGAGGCCCGTGCACGGAATTCCTTCACAGGTCGGGACCCTAGGCCTGGTGAGCCATCAGGCCCCATCTGTGGGGCCACCAGCAGGGCGATCAGGGTGCCTGCTGGCACCTGCCTTGACAGGCCTGGAGCCTGCAGGCTGGGGCAGCTCCTGCCTTGAGTGCCTGCCCCCTGGTGGTCAGTGGGTGTCATAGCAACCGGTCGTTCCACCAGTCATTCTGCTGTTCGGTCAACTTGCACATTAGGCTCTTATTATATAGGATAATATATACATTATAACTAACAATATATGAACAATATTATGTATGTATGGAATAAACATAAAATTCGTAAAATTAGGTGAGTTTGTTGTGTATATATATATCCTATAATAAAAAGCTAAGATGCAAATGGTTCTCACACCCTTGCTCTGGGGCTGGGGACCTGAGGCTGCACCCCGCCGCCCTGCAGGGCTTGATGGGGGAGGGGCCGGCTGGGTCTGAGTCACGTGATTTTGAGGTGTGCATGGGTGGGCGGGGACTTGACTCTGGGCCCGTGGTGAGCCCCAGACTCCGATAGGAGGGGGATCTTCATATACATTTTACTAATTTTCTTTCATCTCTGACTCTTCTATCCTAGAGAAAGGGCAAATAGCAGTATTAAAGTATTTCCTCTAATTAGTTCCCTTTTAATGTGCACGAGTTCTGTGCACCGGGCCACTAGTATATATAATAAATTAACCAAATCGAAAGAAAGCAGAGGAAATTACTAACGATTAAAAGCTGCACCAGTCACGCAGCAACAAGCCGAGTGAAAGGAAAACAAGGCAGTGAGCCCCAGAGGCTCGAGCGGGAAGCGATGGCCTGAGCGACGCCTCTGCCGCTCGCAGCTGGCATGTGACGTGGTGGCTGGCCGGGAGGGACCGGCGTAAACGGAGAATAAATAACCGCGAGGCAGGAGGAGGTGCAGTGATCCTAACCGATGGCAGTGATGGCCGCGGTCAGCCGGCGGCCGGCCGGCGGGAGGACCCTGGAACTGTTTGTAAACAGTCAACGCTTCTGTGATGGGAGAACCCGTCGTCACGGGAAACCGCCTGGAGACGCGTTAATCCTGGTCGGGGTGGGGACAGAGGGGGCATCTGTTCTTATCTGAGGGCGATAGGACAGGGGGCGCGGGGGCAGGGGGACGGGCGCAGCACAGAGCCTGCTTGGCAGTGGCCAGCTGGTGTGGCTCGGTGGCCAGAGCGCCAGCCTGTGGACTGAAGGGTCCTGGGTTCGATTCCGGTCGAGGACACGCACCTGGGTTACAGGCTCCCGGCCCTGGTCGGGCGGGTGCTGGAGGCAACCAATGGCCCTGTTTCTCTCACATCGATGTTTCCGTCTCTCCCTCTCCCTTCCCCTCTCTCTAAAAATCAACGGAGAAATACCTTTGTGTGAGGAGTAATCAAAAATAAAATTATTTACAAAATATGAAGCTACTTGGACATGAAGAGACTGCAGCTCTGTCCGGCGCCCGGGGACGGCAGGAGGGGCTGGAGCCTCGGTGCTCAGCGCTGTGCACCCCGCAGCCGGCCGCACCGCCCAGACCTGAGGGGCGGACTGCCCGGCCCCGGCGACCAGGGCTCCCACCTCTGTGCGTCCCCAGGGGCCAGGGAGGCAGGCCTGGGGGGGGGCAGAGGGAGGGGGGGCACTCTGGGCGGAGCTGGCGGAGGCTGCGGCAGAGCCTGGTGGGGTGCGGAAAAAGGGCTGCTTTGATGGGGATCACGTGTGGAACGCCCACATGGGGCGCTCTGCTCTGGGGGAGCAAAGAGCTGGCGGTGGCCTGGTTGTGGGGCCAGAGGAAGGCCGGGCGGGTGGGGCGCTGCCTGTAAGCGCTACAGACATCTGACTGCGGGGACAGAGGGGGAGGGACGGACTCAGTTGGGGGAGCAGTGGGGGTGGGGGGGCAGTGGGCACACGCCCCTGGGTGCTGGTGACCCCAGAAGCAAGGCGCCCTTGAGTGTGGCCCCAGAGGGAGGCTGGAGGCCCGGGAGGGAGGCTGGAGGCCCGGGAGGGAGGCTGGAGGCCCGGGAGGGGAGGCTGGAGGCCTGGGAGGGAGGCTGGAGGCCCGGGAGGGAGGCTGGAGGCCCCAGGGGAGGCTGGAGGCCCGGGGGGGGAGGCTGGAGGCCCGGGAGGGAGGCTGGAGGCCCGGGAGGGGAGGCTGGAGGCCTGGGAGGGAGGCTGGAGGCCTGGGAGGGGGAATGGGAGATGGGGGACTGAGGCCCGGGCGGGGCTCCCTGGTGGGCAGGGGTGAGGGGCCTGGGTGAGTAGGCGTCCTGCCAGCGTAGCGGGCGGCCCGTCTGTGGGAGACTCGGCCTGAGGGCTCTCACTGAGGAGCGGGGTGGGGTGGGGGGACACACTGAGCTCATGAGGGGGACGCTGCCATCACCCCAGCCGGCCAGGCAGCGGCCCCTGAACCCCCGGGAGGATCTGTCGTCGGGAAAAGGCTGTTCACTCCTCCGGCAGCCGCTCCGTCCACGCGTGACTCCCTTTCAGTCTCGGGCGAGCGGAGGGGCCGGTGTCGGGGTCTAAGGGGCGGGTGATGGGTGGCCTCCCGGGCCCCCCCCCCGGGGCCCGAACCCCCGCAGGTGCAGCAGGCCGGGCCCTGACCGCGGTGTGCGGTCTGATTCCCAGCGGCGCCCGCCTCCTCCGGACTATGGACGGACCTTCTAGGGGAAATGGTTTCCTTAAACGTGTCTTTATTGGTGTCAGAGAGGGAGAGACATCCGTGAGGAGAGAATCTCGGACCGGCTGCCTCCTGCAGGCCTCACACAGGGACGGAGCCGCAGCCGGCTGTGCCCCGACCGGGAATGGAACCGTGACCACCCGGGTCATGGGGTGAGGCCGGGGCGAGGGTGGAGTGTGTGCTGGCATAGGAAGCCCGCGGGCCGGGTCTGTGGCCCCCGGGGGCGGGTCAGACCCGGCGCCCCCACGGCAGCAGGGCCGGGCCGGGGCCGCGCGCAGTGCCCAGGGAGGCTCGGTGTCCACAGCTGCCGCCCCCCCCCGCGGTCCGGGCTCCGTGATGGGGTCCCGAGTGCGGGGAGGCCCTGACGGCGTGGGCTAGGGTCAGGGCGGGGGCACGGAGCCGTGGGGGACGGCCTCTGGGAAGGCCTGGCCTGCGGCGGTGGCTGCTGGCTGCGGCGCGGGCGGGGCCACGGGAGGCCTGGGATCCTCGGACACCCCGTCCTCCTGGCCGCCCTGCGCCCGGTTTTCTCAGGGGCAGCTGGTCCCCGCGGGGCCTCCCGGGAGCCTCTCCAGGGTCCGCCTTCCCACGGGCCGGGGGCCCAGGCCCCGGCCCCGCCATCTCCCCGCGGTGCTCCCCTTGGACCTAGGCCCCGCCGCCTGGCGCCTGTGGGCGGAGCTGGAAAAGGGGCGGACGCACCTGTCAGACAGAAACCGTTAATCACGCAGGGAGCGCGAGGTGGACCAACGCCAGGAGCCAGGAGCGACAGGACGAAGTCAGCACCAGACGCCACGGGGCCCGCAGCTCGCCCTCCTGCTGACCCCGTGGGGCCGGGAGGGCGGAGGGGCTGGGGGGTGGGAGTCGGGCTTCTTCCGTGACTCCAGCCGCCGAGGGGCAGGCCCGGCCGCGGTGCCCACTCCGCCACCGGCCAGGGACGCCGGGCAGAGGTGCGGGGAGACACGGGGACCCGGCCCTGACAGCTCGGTCCCTGGTTCCCACTTTTCACTCTGACCCTGGGCTCCCTGACGGCCTGCCCCCGCCCCCCCCCCCAGGCCCGCTCCCCGCAGAGGGCCCAGCCCCCACATCAGCACCAGCCGGCAGGGGAGGGGGGCCACCGGTCTGGCCAGTCCCCATGGCTAGTTAACAAGGCCCCGATGGCTACCCTGTTTCCCCGAAAATAAGACAGTGTCTTATATTAATTTTTGCTCCCAAAGATGCGCTAGGTCTTATTTTCAGGGGATGTCTTTATTTTTCAGGGGATGCCCGGAAGAAGAATACGGTACACATTTATTGTTAAATGAAAATAAAGGAAATTTATTACCTGTATCCGGTACGGTAGTACGGTCATTGTCAACACAAACCAGACAAACTGTGAATCCTACCGTATCAAGAATTTACTCATGTACTCAATGACAATCATGTCATCATCTGGAACAACTTCATAACAACCCAATTCCCGAATTTCCTGGTGAATTTCTTGTGACTCCATTTCTTTCAGAATCAGTGGACCAAATCTCTCATGTTTAGCCTAGGGGGCCTTATTTTCGGGGGATGCCTTATATTTCACTCCGAAGGAAACCTGTAAGTAGGTCTTATTTTCGGAGGATGTCTTATTTTCGGGGAAACACGGTAGTTAACGAGGCCCCACGGTCAGTCTCGGGGAGCCCTGGCTCCGGAGATGACCCGCCCCCTAGTCCAGGCGACTCCTCCGGGCCGGGCTGCCCCCTCGCCGGTGCGGGAGTCCATCAGGGCGCTCTCTCCGCGTCCTGGAGACCAGGCCGGGCTTCCCTCCCTGCAGACGCTCCAGGAGTGGGGATACCTGCGCGGGCAAAGGAGGGAAGGGAAGTGACGGCTCCCGGGCCCCGCCACGCGCCGACCTGCCAAGGCCCCGAAGCCACAGCGACTCCCGACACTGGGCCCCGTCCATCCCCACGGGAACCCTCGCGGTTCTGCACTTTCCAGAAGAACGGAAAGGTGAGCCCCGGAGCGCCTGGGCGCAGCGCCCCCTGGCGGCCGCCCCTGGCCCCAGCCGCAGCGCCGTCTCCCGCTTCCACTCTCCGCAGCGGACTGCGGCTCTTTCTCCGCCCGAACCCAGGACGGACGTGCAGCCCTGCGCTCCGGCCTCGCCCGCCGCCGTTCACCTGCAGTCCCCGCTGCCAGCCCCAAGCGACTCAGGCCCCTTCATCCCCTTAGGCGACCCTTCGGCGACTCTAGGCTGCGGGAGGACTGTGCACTTGGCTGCCCGGGAGGCCGCGACGCAGGCACTTCCTGCGACGCTCTAGGACGCCGAAGAATTGCTTTTAGCTGCCCTGGAGGCCACAGTGCTGGTACTTGCGGCGATTCTCTAGGCTAGGGGTGTCGAACTCAATCAGAGAAGGGGCCAAAATCTAAAATCCAGCCTAAATCGTGGGCCGAATGGTTTACTGAATAGTCATAAACTGTCATTGTGATGGAAACGCAGCGGAGTGCAGTGATGACAGCAAGGTGCGGGCCACATTGCAAGGCCTGGCGGGACAGATATGGCCCGCGGGCCTTGTGTTTGACACATGTGCTCTAGGCCGCCAGAAGCCTGCGCTCGGCTGCCCTAGAGGCTGTAGCGCGGACACTTCCTGCGACGCTCTAGGCCGCCAGAGGCCTGCGCTCAGCTGCCCTGGAAGTTGTAGCGCCGACACTTCCGGCGACGCTCTAGGCCGCCAGAGGCCTGCGCTCAGCTGCCCTGGAAGTTGTAGCGCCGACACTTCCGGCGACGCTCTAGGCCGCCAGAGGCCTGCGCACGGCTGCCCTGGAGGTTGCAGAGCGGGCACTTCCGGCGACGCTCTAGGCTTACGGAGAACTGTGCACTTAGCTGCCTAAGAGGCCGTGGCACGGGAACTTCCGGCGACGCTCTAGGCCGAAAGAGAAGTCTGCACTCAGTTATCTGGGAAGCGGCTAGACTGGCGGGCCTCGTGCCCAACGCTGGCCTCCCTTTGAGTCACCTTTTTTTTCTCTTAATGTTTTTATTGATTTTAGAGGGAGAGGAAGGGTGGATAGAGAGACAGAAGTATCATTGATTGGCTACAGCCTGCAGGCCCCCTACTGGGGATTGGTAACTGGGGCATGTGCTGTAACCGGGAATCGAACAGCGATCTCTTGGTTCATGCTCAACTACTGAGCCACACCGGCCCACCAGCCTCCCTCTGAGTCTTACAGGTGGTTCCCAGTTTGAGTGCAAGGTCCCTCCCTCCATAGCTGTTGTCCAGCCAACTTCATAGCAACCCCGCCCGCCCTCCTGCCCCCGCGAGAATTCAGACTCCGGGACCCTGCCAGCCTCCACACCCAGCCCCTGCCCCAGGCAGCCCGACCGCCTCCCTCCGGGGCTCCGCCAGGCCTGTCAGGCCCGGGGCAGGGGTGAGTGAGGTCGGGGAAGCAGGTCTGGGTTTGGGGGCGAAGCTGACTGCGCAGGGAGCACATGGAGGAGCCCGGCGCTAGTGGAGACAGGGTCGCCGGGGAGGGGGACAGACTCCTCCACCCACCACACTGTCGTCTTACAAAACACGCACAGGAACACTTAACGAGGGTCACCTAAGAGCAGAAATGGGTTTCCTCATCCCCGTGGTCTCCCGGGGGCCCCGCCCACAGGCACTGCACCCGCTTCCCTCCCGCGTCCTCCACATCCCGGCCGGCAGACTCTTCTCCCGCCGCCGTGCCGCCGGGAAGGCGCCTGCTGGGCTCAACCTGCGCCAGCAGGACCCGATGGAGAACCAACCGGCAGCGGCTGGGGACCGCCCGCGGGAGCAGGTCGGGGAACTGGTGGGAGGACCGCCGTGGAGACCAGATCCGGACCTCCGGACCGGAGAGCCTCAGGGCGGCCGGGCGCGCCCGGCGCTGTCCGATGTGCTGAGCGGGCGATGGCCTGAGAGCTGCAGAGACTCTGGGAGGGAACAAGCGAGGGGCACCCCGCTCAGGCCGCCAGGACACCCCTGTGGGGTGGGGTCCCGGGAGTCGAAGTCCGGGTGGTTGGGGGGAGACGGCTGGCGGAGCCGAGGACTCAGAAAGGACGGGGGGGGGGCGGGAGAGGGGCCTGCGTTTGGCCGCTGCTCCCGAGGCCGCTCCTGGACGGCAGGCGGCGGTGACAGCCGAGAGCAGAGCTGGGAGCAAGCAGGGGTGAAGGCCAGCGCCCTGCAGTTCTGCCCAAGCGGGCGGTCTGCGCAGGGACGGGGCAGGACCGGCTGTGAGGGACTGGATGGGCCAGGAAGGCCCCACACCTGCTCACCTTCCCCATCCCTGGGAAGCCCCCAGGAGATGGGACAGGCTGGCCTCCCAGGACAACAGCTATGGAGGGAGGGACCTTGCTGGGACCCGCACGAGGCCCCCAAACACCAGGGCAGACGGACGCCCGGTGTCGGGAAGGGCCACAGTAGTGACCAGCAGCCCGGGACTTCCCTGGGGCAGGACTTAGCGGCTCCCAGCCACTCGCTCCGTCCGGGCTGGTGGGCGAGGCCGCGGGACCGCCCCTGAGCGGAGCGGGGACTTGCTCTCACAGGGCTTCGCCCACGTCTCCGAGACCGTGTCAGCGGCAGCCCAGTTTCTCTGGGAGAACACGGGCCAGGTCCCCAACGAGCTGGTCCCTTCTAGACCGCAGCCCCCAAGCTCTCCGGCCCCCCGGCCTCCTGTCCCTGGGAGAAGGGGCCGCCAGACCGGCCGGCCGTGGTGTGGACATGGCGCCCAGCCTGGGCGCTGAGGAGGCAGGGTGACCCCACCCCGGTCAGTGTGCGCGGAGGCGTGGCCATGCACTGGGGGGTGGGAGGGAGGCGGGCAGTCACGACCCTCTCTCCAGGCCTAAGGGACTGAATTCCGGGTGCCTCGACCCCAGCATCCATCGAAGCTGGTGTCCAGAGAGCCGGCTCCAGGCCTCCCCCTGGCGGCTCTCCCCCGTGGGTGCAGGGTGGGGATGCCCTGAGTGCGGCCCAGGGAGGGGCCCCATGGGCCGGGTCCCAGCAGTCGGGTGGGGGTGCTGCCCTCTCTAGCAGGAAGGGGGGGCACGCGCTGTGGACACGACCCTCCCACCAGAACTGGGAGGCTCGTCGCCATAGGCGGACACAGCTGACCTGAAGAGGGGACACCTGCTCACAGGAGCACCGGGCCCGGGGGGGGGGGGGGGCGCGGGAAGAGGCGGCTGCTGGCTGCTCGGGAGGGCTCTGCGTCACGTGCCCTGGACGGGGCTGCACCAGCTGCCCTCCCCGCACCCTGGGGTGTCTGCACCTGCGACCACCCGCCCTGAGTGCCTGACCACCAGGGTGTGGCTCCGGGTAAGACTGACCCTCCAGGCTTGGTTCCCCGTGAGCTCAGACCCCCGAAGACTAACCACGCAGTTAGGGCCCCGGTCCCTCCTCCCCCAGACAGGCCCTCTGGGGACGGAAGCCGCCCCTCGGCCCGCCTCGCCCAGGCAGGAGCAGCTCCGATTCCCGTCAATTAAAAGGAATTTATTCAGGACGCTCCGTGCGCGTGTGCGGCGCCAGCTGGGAGGGAGGAAGGCTGCAGCCGCCCCCCCCCCCGCCCCCTCCCGCTGGGGGCCCGGCCGGGCCGCTACTCGCGCGCGTGCACGCGCTGGTGCTGGATGAGCTGGGAGCTCTGGCCGAAGGCCTTGCCGCAGGCGCCGCAGGCGAACGGCCGCTCGCCCGTGTGCGTCCGCAGGTGCCGGAAGAAGTGCGAGCGGCCGCGGAAGGCCTTGCCGCAGGCGCCGCACTCGTAGGGCTTCTCGCCCGTGTGGATGCGCTGGTGCTCGATGAGCACGGAGCTCCAGACGAAGGCCTTGCCGCACTGGCCGCAGGCGTAGGGCCGCTCGCCCGTGTGCAGCCGCCGGTGCCGCGCCAGGTTGGAGCTCTGGCTGAAGGCCTGGCCGCACTCGGCGCACTCGTAGGGCTTCTCGCCGTTGTGCACGCGCAGGTGCTGCGTGAAGTGCGAGCTGTGGCTGAAGGCGCGGCCGCACTGGCCGCACTCGTAGGGCCGCTCGCCCGTGTGCAGGCGGTGGTGCTGGATGAAGCCGGACCAGCCGCGGAAGCGCTTGCCGCACTCGTGGCAGGCGTAGGGCTTCTCGCCCGTGTGGATGCGCTGGTGCTTCAGCAGCAGCGACTGGTACCGGAAGCTCTTGCCGCAGGCCTCGCACCGGTGCGGCCTCCCGCTCCGCGGGCCCTGCCGCCCCCCGAGGCCGGAGTCCTGGCCGAGGCCCGAGGCCCCCAGCTCGGGGCCGCCCTGCGGCCCAAAGGCGCCCTGCGGCGCCAGCGTCCTGCGGCCGGGGTCCCCCTTCGGGGAGCAGGACCCGGGCCCCGGCGGCTGCTCCGGGCCCGGCGCCTGCGCACAGCTGTCCGCACCCGCGGGTCTGCGGGGGAGGCCCCTCTGCGGGGCCCTCAGCGCCGCGCCCTGGTCCGCCCCGTCCGCAGGGTCCGGCGGGCAGGGAGACATTGGCACCTGCTCGGGCTCCGACTCGGAATCTGAAAGGAGGAGCCGAGAGGTGGATGGTGCCCGCCACGCACCCACCCGCCCACCCGCCCCTGGGCCCGGCTGTGCCGCTGGGGGCCCGGCCGACTGAGCCGGAGGCAGAGCCACAAGAGGAGGGCGCGGTGCCCCTCCCCGGAAGGAAGGAGGTGCTGGTCTGGTCTGAGCCGCAGCTCCTCCAGGGGCCCCGCCCCCTCACCCTCTCCTTCCCCAATCGACCTCAGACCTGACACCAGCAGGACCTCCGGGTGGGGCGGGGCGCCGGGGTGGCTTCTCAGGGGCAGAGGTGGGGGGACTGAGAGCTGAGGGCTCGGATCAGCCAGCCCCGCCAGGCTCGGGGGAAGGGGTTGGGAACCAGAGCTTGATTTGGGGGACAAGGGGGGAGAGGGGCCCAGGGACTCCCTTGTTGCTACCCTGGGGGCAGTGGTGCTGAGGAGGAGTCCCCAGTCCCACAGGCAGGTGCCTCGGGGTCTGGTTGCACTTGGGGCCTCGGGAAGCCTCCGGAGAGGGTTCCAGCCGAGCCCAAGTGCTGCTCGGAACTCAGGTTCCGGTCCTGCAGTGACCTAGGGTGACCTCAGGCCACCCCAACCTTTGTCATCTGCTACCCTGGGCTTCCCACCCGCCCGGAGCCTGGCACCCAGCACAGCCGCTGCCCCACGGGCCTCGGCTTATTTGTGTCTGTGGCGAGGCCGGGCCCTCTGAGCAGGAGCCGGGCCCAGGGGCACCAGGTGCTCGGGCTTGGCCGGCTCCTTCCGCACCCGGACAACCAGACCTGGCTGTCTGCGGGGGCGAGGGGGCGGGGCTAGGCCCTGGGCCCGCCCAGAATTCCGGGCACCGTTTCCAAGGCTGGGGAGGGAGGTGCGGTGAATCGCTCCAGTCTAAGACCCAGCCACGGAGGATGCTGTTCTCTGCCCCTGAGGTCCCTCCCAAAGGGGACTGTCCCCAGGAACCGCTGCTCACCACGCTGGCCCCCCTCAACCAACACTGCCTGGGTCCCCACGGGACCTGCGGCGCAGGAGCCCACAGAAAGCTGCCTCGGGTCCCGCCCACAGGGTGGGCGGGGCGGTGAGTACCGTGCTGGTGGCTGTGGAAGGGAAGTGGGGCCTCCCCGTGCGGGGGTCCAGGCGTCCCTGGTGGCTCCAGACTGACAGGGGGCGGGATGCGAGGGGTCTCCTGCCTGTCCCGCAGGGCTGCCATCGCCCGGCCTGGTGGAGGTGTGCACGCCGGACCTGGGGAGTGAAGAGCAGGGCAGGGTGAGGGGGGAGGGGGGGAGAGACACCTGCCGCCCATCGGCCACAGGCCAGCTGGAGGGAGAACAAGACGGCCCAGAGGTACCGTGTGGGGCCTGGGTGCCGGCGACTTGGGGGCCGCTGGCCTGGGGGAGGTCAAGGTCGAAAATGGGACCTTGTCTCCTGGAGCATGAACATTCCAGGCTGAACCTCACCGAGGCTTTCCCCAAATCGCCCTCCTCAGACCCGCGGGGCCCGGGGGGCTGCAGGAGGCACCTCTCTGCCCTGCCCTGCTCAGCTCTTTTGGGGCCAAAGACACTTTCCTTTAAAAAAGTGAGCAGGGCCGGCTTGTGCGATGCAGCAGATTCCTTAGGGGGAGGCGGGACATGGGAAGGCAGCAGCTGCACGGAGGAAGCGGGTGGCCCCAGGAGGGTCCCGCCAGGGCCCGACCTTCTGGGTGAGCCCCCGGCAGCCTCCGCCCTAGCAATGGAGAGGGTCTCGGGCAGCCAGGCGGGCGGACACAGGCGGGGCTGCAGTCACGGGATCTGGGTGCAGGTCCTCACCCCCCCGATGCTCGGTTAGGGTCCCGGGGCTCATCTGGGCGGAGCAGGCTCAGCCCTGGCTGTCACGCCGGAGCCCACAGGGACACGGCACAGTGAGCGCAGGGTCCACGCCGCCGGCCCAGGAGCAAAGCTTCCTGCGCCCCCTCTTCCCAGCGGGGAGCCTGTGCCCCGGGGGTGAGGCCCGAAGGGGGGGGTCGCTTGCCTGCAAAGAGCAGCCTGCGCCGCCGGGTCAGGTGCTCACACTCGCTGGCCGCGGCCCTCGGACCGGGGAATTCTCAGCCTCAGTTTACCGTCTGCAAAGCGGGCCTGACGGTTCCCGCTCCTCGGGCTCCGGGCGCCCGGGGCGGCGCCCGCAGACAGACACGGCGGTGGCCAGGGGCCGGTGCGCCGCCAGCCGGCGGAGGCCTCCTCTCCGCCCTGGGGCGGCCACCCGCGCCCCCTCCCCGAGGCCGGGGTCAAGGTCACCGGGCGGCGGCGGCTACGGGGCGGGTTCGCCGGGACAACGTGCGCGCGCAGGCCGAGCCGGGCGCCCCCGTGGCCGCTGCCCCCGATCCCGCTCCTTCCAGGTGCCCACTCACCTTCCAGCCGGGTGGCCGCCCCGGCAGAGCAGACCGGAAGTGATCCCGCCCCCCGTCCCGGCCGCGCGCGCTTCCGGCCGCTCTGGGCGCCTGGAGGACTACCGCCTCGGTGGCCCCAAGGCCTGTGACGGAAGCGCACAAACTTGCTCCGGGCTGTGTTGTCCGAGTGGACAAGGGCGGCCAGCCTGACCCTCACCGGTTCCCCTTTTCTGTCCATCCCGCCTCTCCTTGCCCGGCCACCCTATGTCACCCCGGAGGGACAGGACCTGGGGGTCTGGTTACTCCTTGCGGAGACTTAGCCAATCCTGGGGTTCTCCCCTGCCCCGTCTCTGCCTCACGTTCGGGGTCACGGACCCTGTCCTCTGGACCTGCCAGGCTTCTCCGCCTGAATGGCATCCCATCAAGCAAGTGCTCAGCTCCCCTGACCTCCAGCTCCCCTGAGCCGGGCTGCCCTGTGCGATCCCAGCAGCTTCCCTGCCCCCACCTGTCCGTGTGACAGCAGCAAACGTCCCTAGTCATTGTCCGCGATCCCTTCTGAGGCAGACTCGCCCCTCCTGCTCCAAGGCAGGCAGTGAGCAAGGGTGTGGACCTGAACGGGAGCCCGGGTCCCAGGAAGCTGCCCGGTGCCTCCCAGACACCCCCTGGGCTGTGGCTGCGTTTCCCAGGTAGGGAGGGCCACAGAGGTGCGCCTGCAGAGGGACTCGGTGTCTTGTCACTGCAGGGTCACTCCCCCCGTTAGCAAGTTCCTGTTCTGTGTGTGTTGTCTCTTAGGGGGTTGCTAATGTGAGGCTGCCCCCGAGACACCCACGGGAGGCAGCACCCAGCTGGGTCTCTGGCCGGCTGGCCCAGGCCAGCTTCTCTTGGGGGGAGGGGGGGGAGAGGCAGTGGTGGCTCCCTGGGGAACCCCACCTGCACCCCAGCCTGCTGAGGTGAACAGGACACAGGGAAGGGGTCAGGACAGATGTTTATTGCCCGAGAAAACAGGTGCCAACGGCCCAGGTCAGGAGGCATCATGCCGAGGGCGGGGCAGCGGAGTGACCAGGAACCAGTGCGGTGGGGACACCAGGTGGGCGCTGGGCCACAGCGGGAAGCAGAGACGCCCTCGGGGTGTGAAGGGACCACAAAGTCTGTCAGCCACTCTGACTATCAGGGTTAAATTTCTGACGATAAATCAACGGTGGGAAGCATCACCACAGCCCGGGCCACCAGCCGTGTGTGAGCGGCGCACGGCCACGGCCACCTCGAGCGCGGGGTCCGTGGGCACGGGCTCGGCCCCCAGGTGAGCGGCCCCGGCCGGGTGGACACCACAGCAGGGCGGCCGGTGGCGAGTGAGGCAGAGCTTGGGCGCGGGCTCTCCCACATTCCCGGCATTCGCAGGGCTTCTCTCCCGGGTGCGAGTTGATCCGGGCCGCAGCCGGGGGGCCTCTCCCGCTGTGCGCGCCGGTGCGGACCGGGTCTGCCTTGTGCTGAGGAGGCGCCGCACTCCCGCACTCGCAGGGCTTCTTCCTCTGGAAGGGACGAGCACGGGACCCCTCGAAGTCGTCTTTAAAGGAGGCATCGACGGCGTCAGAGATGTGGGCCTCGTCCTCGGGGCTCAGGCCGGGCTCCCTGCTGTGCTTCTCGGCCAGACCGCTCGGGGCTCCACACGTGCTGCGGGGCCTGGTGGGGCTCCTCTGGGGCTCCTGGCCGCTCACACCGAAGCGCCGTGTCCCTGTGGGGCGCGGCTGGAGGGCTGGGCCGTGTCCCCTTCACCGCCGAGCCCCTAGCTCCGGGTGCCCAGTACACAGCGGCCCGGCCGCGCTGGCCGGCGCCTCCCGCGGAGGCTGGGTTTCCGCGGCTTCCTCTGCGCGCGGTGCACCGGATCGAAGCGGTGCTGAACGGAGAGGCCAGGCCCGAGGCAGAGGGCGGCACAGGGGCACGCCCGCCCCGGCCCCACAGCAGCTTCCCGGGACCGCGGCCCTCGGAGCCCCGTGCCCGGGCCACACCGCCGAAGGGACCCGGGAGCCCCGGGCTGAGGGCGGGGCGGGGCAGGAGGCCACCCCCGCGGAGCCCGGCGCAGACCTGCGGCTCAGAGACAGCGCTCGGCGGCAGCCCAGCCCCGCAGCGCCTGCCGGAAGCGCCCGCCTCTGGGCCCGCCCCTTCCGGTGCCGCTCTAGGCGGCGCGGCTCCCGGCCTCTCTATGATGCGTCACGGAGGACTCGGCCCCCCGGCCGGCTCCTCCCACTGCCGTTGGGTCCGCTGGGCCCTCACTCGCCCTGAGTTCCCCCCCCCCCCTTGCACCCCTGCGACCCCCTCACTCACCGCTGCTCCCCTCGCTCACCCTGCGCCCCTTCCTTCACTGTGTCCCCTCACTCCCTCCCGCACCCATCACTCACCCCTGCACCCGCTCACCTCGGGCAGGAATAATGGACGGTAATTAAGGGGGGAGGGGGGGCCTGCCGAGACCGGTTTGGCTCAATGGATAGAGCGTCGGCTTGGGGACTGAAAGGTCCCGGGTTCGATTCTGGTCAAGGGCATGTACCTTGGTTGCGGGCATATCCCCAGGAGGGGGTGTGCAAGAGGCGGCTAATCGATGACCCTCTCATCGATGTTTCTAACTATCTCTCTCCCTTCCTCTCTGTACAAAAATCAATAAAAATATATATATTAAAAAAAAAGAGCGGGGCCCACGCGTGAAGCTTTTCCTCACGTTGCTCCAACCCTCTTCCCACTTCCCGCCTCTCCCCACTCCCATTCCCGCGGGCCGGAGACCCAGCCCTGGTCCCAGGGGCGCGCTCCTCCGCCTCCCTGCGTCAGCACCGGTCAGCGGGGTGCTGAGTGCCGCCGCCCCCGTGGGACCCGCCCCCGTGGGACCCGCCCCCGTGGGACCCGCCCCCGTGGGATCCGCCCCCGGACAGGGGTGCTGCGAGGTGCACAGCCTGAGGTCGGCCCTCTGCTCCCGGAGGCTCCTGCTGGCCGTGGGGAGCTGACCCGTCCTGTCCCCGCAGCCCCGCTGTCAGAGGTGGGGGGCTGTCAGCAGTCTCCGTCCTCAGGAAGGCCCCGCTTTGGGTGACTGCCTCCTCCTCACCCCCTTCTCCAGCTCGAGAACAAGGACAGGAAGCCCGCTGCGGCCACCTGCTTCCTGTGCTGGCCGAAGCCAAGACTGGGTGGGGTGTGTCAAGCGAACAGGCAGGTGCCCCAGGACAAAATGGACCTGCGGGGGCGGGACCCAGGTTCTATGGGAGGATGGGAGCTGCGTGGGAGGGGTGCCTAAGGCAGCTCTGCTCCCCAGGGGCCCCAGAGGCTGCTGGGCCCAGATAAGACGGGAACACGTTGTCCCCCTGAGCTGACTCCCAGTGCCAGGGCTGGGTGGGGGACACAGGGCCCTGCCGTGGCCCCAAGGACTGGTTTCAGGGTGGGGGTGGCGAGGCAGGGAAGGGCTGCTTCAGCCCAAAGGCGGGCACTGCCCTCCTCATTAGGGGCAAGTGGAGGGGGTCACTGAGGGAGCAGGGCCAGTGGGCTGACCCAGGGCCGGGGAGAGGGACAGACAGATGCCCCACAGGGGACAGCACAGAGCCTGACCCACCCAGGGCAGCCCCATGGTCAGAGCAGGGACCTGAGCACAGAGGCTAACGGCCTGCCAAGGTCACAGCCAGGAAATGAGGCCTGGGCCCACCTCAGCCCTGGGCCCCACAGCCCCTGTGTTGCCCTGAGGCCCCCGGGCCCCCAGTCACACTGAGGGGAGATGAGCCGCTCCAACAGCATCTGAGTTGCAGGCAGAGCCCTGACCCAGGCCAGAGGCTCCAGAAGCTTCCAGCATCAGCCTCCCCAGGCCAAGCGCCTGCACGCCAGCTGAGGGGCCGCTCTGGAAGGTCTCCCCCTCCCCGGGCGGGGGCAGGGCTGGTGAGACCCTCTGAGCCTGGGGCTGCTTCCTGCACCCCAGGGGCGGACCGGGAGGCCTGGGAGGGGCTGTGCACTCGGACTCCGCGGTGACAGCGCCCAGTGCTCCCCATCGGGCCAGGCCGAGGATTATTTTTTCATTGATGTGTAAAGAGCGTGGAAGGAAGGGGGAGACGGAGAGAGGGAAACATCGATGTGAGAGAGACCATCGATTGGTTGCCTCCCCTATGTGCCCCAACTGGCGCTGGGGATCAAGCCTGCAACTGAGGCACGTGCCCTTGACCAGAACCGAACCCCGGGCCCTTCAGCCCGCAGGCCGACGCTCTATCCGCTGAGCCACCCAGTGAGGGCTCCTGAGGCTTCTGGTGCTGAGGGACTCCCTCCCTGTCAATGAGGGGGCAGAGCAGCTGCCTGGGAGGCCCCGAGTGTGGGCTGGAGGGCGTGGCCTAACAGCCAAGCCAGGGACCCTGACCCCTCTGTGCCCACCTGCTGCGCCTGAACGGCTGTGAGTGTGCGCATTAGTGTGTGCACACACGTGGGTGGGTGTGCGAGTGTGTGGACATGCCAGGGACAGAGGAACCAGAGGTAACTGGCTTCCGCTCCCTCCCGGTCCTCAGCCATCCGGGCCCTCCCTCCCAGCTGCTCAGTCAGAGCCGCCTCTGGGCGCACGGTGGATGCTGAGCTCCAGCCCTCATTCCTGCCAGCGGGAGGAGGGGAGGGGCCAGGAGGCTCCAGGTATGCTGAGCTGGTGGGGACGTAGGGCAGCTTGTCCCATAACTGCTCTGACGGGGACACTGAGGCCCAGGCCAGGCCTCCTCCCCCCACAGCCCGGGCTGGGGAAAGCAGAGTTTGGTGCGGTCCAGAAGGCCGAGCACACCCGGCTGGCGTGGCTCAGGGGCTGAGTGTGGACTTATGAACTGGGAGGTCAGGGTTCAATTCCCGCTCAGGGCACAGGCCCAGGTTTTGGGCTTGATCTTCAGTGGGAGGCATGCAGGAGGCAGCCGATCAGTGATTCTCTCTCACCATTGCTGTTTCTGTCCCTCTTTCCCTCTCCCTTCCTCTCTGAAATCAACTTAAAAAAAAATTTTTTTTTAAAGAAGGCCAAGCGTGCAGCAGCCAGCACACAGCTCCGCACAGCCAGAGCAGACACGGGAGCCACAGGGGCAGGGCAGGGGCAGGGGCAGGGCCACCCTCGGCCCCGGCAGGCTGGGCGCTCCTCCCCAAGCCTCCCCACTGCCGCTCCCCTGCTCTGCAGCCCACAGGCCTGCTCCAGCCCCTCCGCCAGCTCCTCCCACCTCCTCCCACTCCCTGCACCGGCACCCACTGGGCACCGTCTCTGCAGCGCCCCCCAGGGGAGGCAGATGAATGGACGGAGGCAGGAAGCCGGGGAGAGGTGGACTCCCCAGGCACATAGCCGGTGGCTGAGGCCTGCTCAGCCCTCCATCACAGGCAGAGGGAGAGGAGGGCAGTCGGGGAAACTGAGGCAGTGTAGGTGGGCCGGGAGGAGCCAGTGCTGGCCTCCAAGTTTATTCTCTAAAACGGGGGCAGGAGAGGACGATGCCGGCGGGCAGGGAGCTGGCCGGGCCGGGGAGGGCCTGCTCCGCTCAGGACCCCAGGGCCCCGCGGGCGAGGAGCAGGCTGAGCAGCAGGGCGGCGGCCACGGCTGCGGGGCTGCCCCGGGGGCCGCGCCCCCCGCCGCCCTGCCAGGGCGGGGAGTTGCACAGGGCGGTCTGGCAGCAGATCATGGTCATCTCCGTCCCCTCGACCGTCCTGGCCACCGGCTTGCAGGCGTCTGTGCACCACCCTGAGTAGGCGGTCAGAGGCCCGGATTCTGGGGGGCGGGCAGAGACGGGGGTCACGCTGGAGGGGGTGGGGGAGGCGGCCGGCGGGGGCTGCGCCTGGGGGGTCCGCGGCCACTCACCGGAGTCCCACCGCGACACGAAGGCCTTGCAGTAGTGCTGGCTGAGGGGGCAGCGGAGGGTCTCCCGGCAGGTCTCCCCCTCCGTCAGGGACGAGCAGGCGTAGCACCGCAGCGCTGGGGACAGGGCTCAGCCTCGGGCACCCCCCCCCCCCCCGCCTCGGCCTCCAGGCTCCTGGCCTCTCCACCCTGAGCCCGCTGCCCCCCTCTGCTTGGTGAACCGCGGCTCAAACCCCCTCCTCCCCACCCAGCCCCGAACACCATCGCCCCTCCCTCCCCTGGGCTCCTGCTCTGGGGGCAGGGTGCTGGCGAGGCTCCCTCCTTCCCTGCACCCCTGGCAGGGAGGCCGGTCCCCAGGGGCCCGCGGCCGGGGTCAGTGGACGGTACCTCTGTCCTCGGGCCCCTCGTCCTCCTCTTCCTCCTCATAGTCGTCATCGTAGCTCTCCAGCCCCAGGTCCTCGTCCTCCGCCCCGTCCTGTGTCTGTCCCCTCCCTGGCCACGGGCACCCCGTGAGCCTCCGCTCCCCCCGCAGAGCGTGCCGCCGGGGCAGGGGGACCCCGCCCCGTCTCCCAGGCTGCCCACCTTTCCGAGCGTGACCGGGCACCGTCCTCACAGCACCAGCTGCTGTGGCCGGCTCTGGACAGCAGGCCCCCCTTCCCTCCCCCCCGATGGCCTGCCCACCTGTCCATTGTACAGAGAGGAAAACTGAGGCTGGAGGGGAAGCCCCAAAGATTGTGCTTCGGAGAGGCTGAATCTGGGGCTTAGGGAGGGGAGCCTGTGCTCCCAGGACTGGCTGGGGCTGGGGCTGGGCTGGGGCTGGGCTGGGGCTGGGGCTGGGCTGGGGCTGGGCTGGGGCTGGGGCTGGGGCTGGGGCTGGGCTGGGGCTGGGCTGGGGCTGGGGCTGGGCTGGGGCTGGGGCTAGAGCTGGGCTGAGGCTGGGGCTGGGGCTGGGCTGGGGCTGGGGCTGGAGCTGGGCTGGGGCTAGGGCTGGGGCTGGGCTGAGGCTGGGGCTGGGGCTGGCTGGGGCTGGGGCTGGAGCTGGGCTGGGGCTAGGGCTGGGGCTGGGGCTGGGGCTGGGCTGGGGCTGGGCTGGGGCTGGGCTGGGCTGGGGCTGGGGCTGGGGCTGGAGCTGGGCTGGGGCTAGGGCTGGGGCTGGGGCTGGGGCTGGGCTGGGGCTGGGCTGGGGCTGGGCTGGGGCTGGGGCTGGGCTGGGGCTGGGGCTGGAGCTGGGCTGGGGCTAGGGCTGGGGCTGGGGCTGGGGCTGGGCTGGGGCTGGGCTGGGGCTGGGCTGGGGCTGGGGCTGGGCTGGGGCTGGGCTGGGGAGATTTGGAGACCGTGGGGGCCCAGGGCAGCCCCCTCCACCTCCCTCCGGCCTGGGACTCTGGCCTCACGCCCTCCTTCCCAAGCCGCGTCCTGTCCCCAGGCTGCGGGCCGCGGGCGGGCGGTGGGCCCCTGGCTGCAGCGTCGCTCTGACTGAGTACCTGGCCGCTCGCACAGCAGCAGGGCGAGCAGGACGGCCGCGAGGGCCTTCATCCCGTGGCCGTGGTCTGCGTGGTCTGCGCGGTCTGCGCGAGCCGCGTCTGCGCTCCGTCCTGCTGGGCCCGGCCGGCCGTGGGAAGTGTGATAAAGAGCAGTGCTGGGGGCTTCCTGGAGGCCCCGCCCCCCGTCCCCTGGCTCCATAGAACAATTGGATGGTTTCCCTCCTGGACTTCAGGGACCCAGGGAAGGGAAGTCGGTGTGGCTGGCCTTGGGGAACCCGTGCATCTGTGCGGCTCTGCCCCAGCCTGGCGCCTGCCCCAGCCTCAGCCTGCAGCGCCGCCTGCCAGCGGGCCACGCACGTCCCTCACTTTATCGAAGTGGAACTCAACTCCCTCAGCTGACCTTACAAAACCTCAGAATAGCCATGGCTGGTGCGGCTCAGTGGTTGGAGCGTCAGCCTGTGCATGAAAGGGTAGTAGCTTCCAGGTCAGGAGCACTACCTGGGCTGCAGGTTCGATTCCTGGCCCTGGTTAGGGGCCTGTGGGTGGCAGCAAGTCCATGCGTCTCTCTCACATCGAAGTGTCTCCCCCCCCCTTCCTTCCACTCTTTCTAAAAATCAGTGGAGGAAATATCTCGGGTGCGGATTAACATAAAACACAAAAACTTCAGAATAACTGCAGAGGAAGGAAGCAGCTCGTGTCTTAAGCCAGAAAAATATTACGTGGGTGAAGCGGGCAGAGAGCACACTGTCCTGTGTGTGAAAAGGGAGGAAGTGGCCCTGCCTCCCAGGCTTTGCATCTGTGCAGAGCTTGGTCCATCTGGCTACCCAGGCCCCGCCTACCAGCTGCCCCAGGCCCCGCCTCCTGACTTCTCTAGGCCCTGCCTCCTGGCTGCCCCAGGCCCGCCTCCCGACTGCCCAGGCCCCACCTCCTGGCTGCCCCAGGCCCGCCTCCCGACTGCCCAGGCCCCACCTCCTGGCTGCCCCAGACTCCGCCTCCTGACTGCCTAGGCCCCGCCTCCTCACTTCTCTAGGCCCCGCCTCCTGGCTGTCCCAAGCCCCGCCTCCTGACTGCCCCAGACCCCGCCTCCTGACTGCCCAGGCCCCGCCTCCCGCTGCCCCAGGCCCCGCCTCCTATCTGCATGCGGCCCCTTCCGCAGGTGCCACACTGGCCTGTCCTCAGCTGTGGGGCAGGCAGCCCTGGTGGCCGCCCGAGAGCAGGCCGCTGGGCAGCACCTTGCCCATCCCCACCCAGGGCCGGAGTCTGGGCCTGGGTCCAGGGCTGCAGCCGGGCCGGGAAGGCTCAGACCCGCCTCCACCTCCGGTCCCACAGGTGCTGTCCCTGAGCTGGACACACCTTCTGCTGACGTGGAGGCCACGATCGCCTCTTTCTTCAGCGCAGCCCAGGTGCCTGGTCCTTCCGCGTGGGGCCCCCTCAGAGCGCGGAGGAGGCTGAGCCTGCTCTCCAAGGAGCGGGGGTACGAGAGCCAAGGGCGAATGGCCTGCGGGGGTCTGGTCCCCACCGGCCGCTGGGTCTGACCCAGGGAACGTGCAGGTGCGGGAGAGGAAGCAGCCTCAGGGGGCCCCACGCAGGCCCGCGGTCAGCAAGATATTATAGAAGCAGGTGCTGGTGCTGGTGCTGGTGCTGGTGCTGGAGGGGCGCAGGGAGAGCATCAAGGGCGGTGGAGGGGGGGCAGGAAAGGTCTGGTGGGCCTCACGGTGAGATGGTCCCTTCCTGGAGGAGAGCCAGTGCCTAGGTGAGGCATACCCACCTGGTGGGATGGTCCCTTCCCAGTGCCCAGGTGAGGCGTGCCCTGCTCAGAGCAGCCCTGGGCCTAGCCCCAGTGCCCAGGCCAGCATTGATCCCCCCTCACTCTTCCAGGCCCCCCAGGGTCAGGGATGGTCTCCTGGGAGCCGGGCAGCCCTGCAGGAAATGGGCGTGTGAGTGACAGCGGTCCCTGCTGACCCCCGGCCGGCCCCTCGGGGAGACCACTGCTTTTGGGAAGCAGTCCTTCGCAACACGGCCGCCAGCCACACCCCCAGTCTCCGAGGTGCGGGGGCCTGATGGTATCCCCACAAATACCGGGAGGGGAGCTCAGCTGCCCCTCTCCCCGGACCCCAGTCTCGGCCTTTCCCCGCCAGGGCGGGAGCCAGAGGCCTGGCCAATGGCTGGAGAGCCGCGGCCTCTGCCCCTGTCCCTGGTCCTGACCGCCGCGGAGAGGCTGTGTCCTTGACCCTGAGCACAGAGTCGCTGGCCCCAGGCTCCGGGCAACTTGCCAGAGTGGCACCTATCAGGGCAAGATCCCGGTGCCCCTCGCCAGGACCTGGGCACCTGGGCAGGCCAGGCTGGGAAGAGGGCGGGCAGGCCAGCTGTCACCCCGCCCGCCCGCAGGAGCGGCCGTGCGCCTGCAGGAGGGGCCGGCCCACACAGGGGCTCCGGGCCCTTTCTTGTGCTAATCATGGCAGATTGTCACTCGTGTGTGCACAGCCCTGATAGGGTGAGCGGACCCACGTGTGCGGGGAGCAGGCAGGGTGGCTTGGAAACCGGGATAGGAATCTCTGTTTCCTTGGCAACCAAGCCCGGCGTGGGAGAACCCAGGTCTCCGCTCTCTGGGGCCCCAGCTGCATTGCCAGGGGCCGGCCCCACCTCCCGGGACATTGAATCTCTGGACACCGGGCTCCTGCCCCTACTGCCCCATCATGCCCCCCATCGTGCGCCCCTCCCCGTCATGCCCCACCCACCTGTATGCTCTTTGACTCATAACTGATCACCCCAAAAGGTAGGGGCTAAACACAGCACCACGTACGGCTCACAGGGTCCGGGACAAAGTAGAGAGAACGGGATGGCTTCAAGGTCAGCGCAGCGCCGGGAGCCGGCTCATGCAGCGACGGAGGCTGGCAATCCAGCAGCAGGTGGGCCGGGTGGCCAGCGGCCAGGGGAGGCAGGAGGAGCCAAAGTTTCAGCTCAAGTTCGAAGGCCACCTGCTGGCCCTGACCGGTTTGGCTCGGCTCCGTGGATAGAGCATCGGCCTCAGACTGAAGGGTCCCAGGTTCAATTCCGATCAAGGGCATGTACCTTGGTTGGGGGCACATCCCCAGTGGAGGGTGTGCAGGAGGCTGCTGATCGATGTTTCTGTCTCATGGTTGTTTCTAACTCCCTATCTCTCTCTTCCTCTCTGTGAAAAATCAATAAAATATTGTATATATATATATTTTAAAAATATATTTTATTGATTTTTTACAGAGAGGAGGAGAGAGGGATAGAGAGCTAGAAACATCGATGAGAAACATCTACCAGCTACCTCTTGCACACCCCCTACTGCGGATGTGCCCACAACCAAGGTCCATGCCCTTGACTGGAATTGAACCTGGGACCTTTCAGTCCCCAGACTGACGCTCTACCACTGAGCCAAACCGGCTTTGGCTAAAATATATATATTTTAAAAGCCACCTGCTGGCGGCATCCCCCCCCCTTGCCCCAAGGGCAGTCAGTCCTCAGTTCCACCGGCCCCTCCACTGATTGGGTGAGGCCCACCATGCCCATGGGAGGCAGTCTGCTGACCTCAGAGCCCACAGCGTCAACCTGACCTCAGCGACTTCCTTCCGAGCACCTTACAGGCTTAGCTGGGGGGAGGGGGGGTGGAGAGGGCAGTCCGGGGCTGCTGGGGGGGGGGGAGAGATGGAGAAGGCAGTCCGGGGCTGGGAGGGGTGGGGGGTGGAGAGGGCAGTCCGGGGCTGGGAGGGGTGGGGGTGGAGAGGGCAGTCCGGGGCTGGGGAGGGGGGGGGGAGAGGGCAGTCCGGGGCTTCTGGGGGTGGGGGGTGATGGAGAGGGCAGTCCGGGGCTGGGAGGGGTGGCGGGTGGAGAGGGCAGTCCGGGGCTGTTGGGGGTGGGCGGTGGAGAGGGCAGTCCGGGGCTGTTGGGGGGGGGAACAGGGGCGCTCAGAGGGAGCAGCCCCGAACCCCAGAACCGGGGTGGGTTGGAGAGGGGAGGGGCCGGGCTGTGCGCCTGGAATGGGACTCGCATCCGCACCTGCGCCCTCCCCCCTGCCTCCCGCTCCGCGTCTTTGTGCTTTTCGCTTCCTTCGCAGTAAACGCTCCTCCGAGAAATCCCGCGGGGACCTCGGCGGAGCGGGGAGGGGAAGGAGGGAGGAGAGGAGGGAGGAGAGGCGGGGAGGGAAGGGGAGGGGAGGATGGGAGGGGAGAGGAGAGGGAGGGGAGGGGAGGAGGGGAGGAGGGCTCCGCGCGCTCCGGGCGGGGAGCGGAGGCGGCGGAGGAAGCGGGCAGCGCCGCCGGCTCAGGCACCGGACGCCCCGGACAGCGACCAGGCTCCGACCCGGAGCCCTCGGCCCCCGTCCCCAGCCCCCCGCCCCCGCCCCAGCTCCGCCCCGCCCCGCCCCGCGCGGGGTCCGCGTCTGCGGCTGCGCCCCCGACAGACGGCTGCGCCGGGCTCGGTCCGCAGAGACCGAGGAGCCGCTCCCCGCCCGGAGCCCGGAGCCCGGAGCCCGGAGCCCGGAGCCGCGGGGGATGTGAGTGCGACCGCGGCCTGCGCTCCTCTCCGACCGGTGAGCGCCCGGGCGGGGCGGGCGGGGCGGGCTCGGCTCCCCGGCCGGGGGTGGGGGGAGGCGGGAAGGGGGGACGTGGCTGCACCTCCCCGCCCGCAGGTACCGCCCGCACCTGGCCCTGCCTCCCCCCGGACGCCTCCCGCCCCGGGGAGGACGCCTCCACCCACAGGTGCTGGGCGCGGGGGGCGGGGGAGGGCGCCCGGCCTGTGCCGTGCCCGGAGGGGTGCCCGGAGGGGTGCCCGGCGGGGGGCTCGGCCTGTGCCGTGCCCGGAGGGGTGCCCGGAGGGGTGCCCGGAGGGGTGCCCGGCGGGGGGCCGGGCCTCGGGGAGGGGTGCCGGGCCTCGGGGAGGGGTGTCCGGCGGGGACGCCGGGGGATGGGCGGGGGCGGGGCTGGGCGCGCTCCCGGCGACCCCGGCCCTGGATGGGGCTGAGGCCGCGTTCGGAGGCAGAGAGGCGGGTCCTGCGGGCCCCGGGGCCCAGTCCGCTGACCCGGCTTCTCCCGCCAGGTCCGCGCCCCGAGGACCCGCCCGCCGCCCCGCGCCTTAGCGGCCGCCGGAGCATGCTGCCCCCCGCCATGAAGGGCCTCGGCCTGGTGCTGCTGGCCGCCCTGCTGTGCTCCTCGCCCAGTGAGTCTGGGCAGCCCCCGGGCCCCCCAGAGAGCAGGGGTGCCCCCCTCCCCATCAAACCCGGCCGGGCCCGGCCCTCACCCCCGGGCCCTCCCCCCAAGACCCTCTCCTGCGGCCCTCCCCCGGGGCCCTCCCCCCGCGGCCCTCCCCCGCGGCCCTCCCCGCTGGCTCTCCTTCCACCGCTCCTCCAGGCCTCACACCGGCTGGTCAGGCAGGGGTGTGCCCTCGCCAGGCAGGGTCCTGCACCCCATCACCCTCTGAGCCCCATGCACACGCCCAGCAAGTCCTGTCTGGTCCTTGGAAGCGTAGAACCACCCGAGCTGTGGGAGGGGGCGGGTGTGCGGCTGCAGGAGGGCCGCTCAGGTGTGGGTGCTCCTCTGAGGGGCGGGAGGGTGCTCCGGAGCCCCAGGGGTGCCCCAGGGGAGTCCCAGGGCTGGGACACACTGCCCCGCGCACTAGCAGGAAGCCAGGAGGCTTCTCCCAGGCCTAACCTCCGTGCTGCTCTGGCCTGGGCCTGTCGGTCGGGGGTGCTTGGCTGCCACAGCCACACGACAGCAGACATGGGGGTACAGGGGCTGGCCGCCCAGCCCCGATCCCTCCGGTCACCCCCTCCTCGGCCCGCCCAGCTCACGGCCTGTGGTGCCAGGACTGCACCCTGACCACCAACTCCAGCCGCTGCACCCCAAAGCAGTGCCAGCCCTCGGACACCGTGTGCGCCAGCGTCCGCATCACCGACCCCAGCAGCAGTGAGTGCCGGCGGGCGGGGGCGCGGGCGGGGGCACCTGGGCGGGCGGCGTGGGCGGGAGCGCGGTGTGCTGGGCGGGGAGCCCGGGCGGCGTGGGCGGGAGCGCCGGTGTGCTGGGCGGGGAGCCCGGGCGGGCGGCGTGGGCGGGAGCGCGGTGTGCTGGGCGGGGAGCGCCGGTGTGCTGGGCGGGGAGCGCCGGTGTGCTGGGCGGGGAGCGCCGGTGTGCTAGGCGGGGAGCCCGGGCGGGCGGCGTGGGCGGGAGCGCGGTGTGCTGGGCGGGGAGCGCCGGTGTGCTGGGCGGGAGCCGGGGCAGCGTGGGCACCGGTGTGCTGGCCGAGAGCGAGCACCGAGCACCGGCAGGGCTGCCCCCCCAGGCCGGAAGGACCAGACGGTGAACAGGATGTGTGCCGCCTCCTGCGACTTCGTCAAGCGGCACTTCTTCTCCGACTACCTGATGGGCTTCATCAACTCGGGCATCCTGAAGGTGGACGTGGACTGCTGCGAGAAGGACCTGTGCAACGGCGTGCCCGGGCCGGGCGGCAGCCCCTGGGCCCTGGCCGGGGGGCTCCTGCTCAGCCTGGGGCCCGCCCTCCTCGGGGCTGGGCCCTGAGTCCCCCCCACCCCCCCAAGGGCTTCTAAGCTTGTCCCTGGGCCTGGCTGCCCTCCTCGGCCTGGCTGCCCTCCTCGGCCTGGCTCCGCCGGGGCTGGGGCCGTGGTCGCTGGCCTGGGCCTTGTCTCTCCACCAGCTCTGAGTCCCCGCCCGCGGTCACTCCGGGCCCCGTGTCCATCGCCCGTCGGGTGGGCAGGGGGTTGGGGTGAGGACAGGGGGCGGGGGGCGGGGCCTCCAGGTCTCTGAGGGGAGCTGGGCCATGCAGGCCCAGCCCAGCAGCCAGCTGTGAGCCTCTTCTACAGAAATAAAGTCACGTCTGAGTCTGGAGACCCGGGTCTGAGCCTGGGGGGGAGGGGGTCCTGGCAGGGTGGGAGGAGGTGCTGAGGGTGGGAGAGCAGGTAGTGCCCTGCGGGCAGGCACCCGGCGGGCTCTGGGGCCGTGGTGCTGGGCTGCTGGGCCTGGTGAGGTTGGGAGCAAGGGGGAGGGGAGGGAAAAGCCCAGATGAACAAGGTCATAGGTGGGCCTGACGGGCGTGTGCACACCATGATGGCAGCTGCGTACAGATGTGCAGACTTGTGCCCGTACACACGGATGTGGTGGCGCACACGCCTGCAGCATGGGGCACCCGCATCCACGCCCATATTCACACGCTCACGCCTCGGTCCCCTGAGCACGTGGGAGGCCTGCGCACGCTCACACCCGCCTCCGGGGAGGACCTGGCGGCATGGCCTGGCCCGCCTGCTCCCGGCGTGGTCCGTGGCCCGGTCCCCACCGAGGATGGAGGCCGGCCCAACCCTCGCGCCCTCCACTGGCCGTGTGGCCCCCTGTCAGCTGGGCGGCGCCGGAGGCCACTCCTGGCTCCTCGGGTCCGACTTCATCCAGTTCCTCCTCCTCCTGTGTGGCCGCCGCGGGCCTGGCCCATGGGGTCCTGAGCCCCGAGGAAAGACGTGACCCCCCCCCCCACTCCGCCGCCGAGCCCCGGAGAGGGCGGGCCGGGGTGAGCCGGAGGCAGCCCGCCCGGGACTGGCCCCGGCTCCTGCCAGGGCGGTGGCTGGGGGCTCAGCGGGCACCTGGCTCCGCTGGAAGTCGGCTCTGGAGGCGCCCCGGCCGGGCCCCGAGCCTCAGGACAGTGTGCGGCCTCGGCGGTGACTGCTGCGGTGACCCAGGCCGCCCCCAGGGGCACTGCAGGGAGGCGGGCAGCTGTGCTGGGCGCTGGGCGCCGCCGCCCGGGGAAGGCCAGCCCGGCCGCACCGGGCCGTCGGAGCAGCCCACCGGTCCCCGGGCGCGGAGCGGAGCGCCTGCTTCGGGAGAATTTAAAACAGGAAAGAGGTTGTTACAAGTCCATTCCCATCGGCCTCAGAGCGGAGGGAGAGGGCGGGAGCGTTAGAACATCCAGGATGAGAGAGAATCCTGGATCGGCTGCCTCCTCACGGCCCCCACTGGGGATGGAGCCCGAGACCCCGCAGGAGCCCTGAGCGGGAATCGAACCGCAATTCACAGCCACTGAGCCACACAGGCTGGACTCCCGCCCTCTCCAAAAACCAATGGGGACGTGTCCTCAGGTGAGGATGAAAGAGAACAGATGCCTGGAAAGAGGCCGAGTCAACTTCCCGCCCCACCGTCTGTGTGTGTGTGTGTGTGTGTGTGTATGTGTCTCTGTGTGTATGTGTGTGTATGTGTCTCTGTGTGTATGTGTGTGTATGTATCTCTGTGTGTATGTGTGTGTATGTGTCTCTGTATGTATGTGTGTATGTGTCTCTGTATGTATGTGTGTGTATGTGTCTCTGTGTGTGTATGTGTCTCGGTGTGTATGTGTGTGTATATGTGTGTCTGTGTGTCTCTCTCTGTGTGTATGTGTCTCTGTGTGTGTCTCTCTGTGTGTGTATGTGTCTCTGTGTGTATGTGTGTGTATGTGTCTCTGTGTGTATGTGTGTGTATGTATCTCTGTGTATGTATCTCTCTGTGTGTGTATGTGTCTCTGTATGTATGTGTGTATGTGTCTCTGTATGTATGTGTGTGTATGTGTCTCTGTGTGTGTATGTGTCTCGGTGTGTATGTGTGTGTATATGTGTGTCTGTGTGTCTCTCTGTGTGTGTATGTGTCTCTGTGTGTGTCTCTGTGTGTGTATGTGTCTCTGTGTGTGTTTCTGTGTCTATGTGTGTCTCTCTGTGTGTATGTGTGTCTCTCTGTGTGTATGTGTGTGTGTGTCTGTGTGTATGTATGTGTGTGTATGTGTGTATGTCTGTGTGTGTATGTCTGTGTGTGTATGTGTGTCTCTCTGTGTGTATGTGTGTGTATATGTGTGTATATGTGTGTCTGTGTGTCTTTGTGTGTATGTGTGTGTCTCTGTGTATGTGTGTATGTGTGTGTGTCTCTCTCTCTGTGTGTGTGTATGTGTGTGTGTGTCTCTGTGTGTGCCTGTGTGTGTGAGTGTGTGTATGTCTGTATATGTGTGTATGTGTGTGTCTGTGTGTATGTGTGTGTCTGTGTGTATGTGTGTGTCTGTGTGTGTCTGTGTGTATGTATGTGTGTGTGTCTCTCTGTGTGTATGTGTGTATATGTGTGTATATGTGTGTCTGTGTGTATATGTGTGTCTTTGTGTGTATGTGTGTGTCTCTGTGTGCCTGTGTGTATGTGTGTATGTGTGTGTCTCTGTGTGTGTGTGTATTGTGTGTATGTCTCTGTGTGTGTATGTGTGTGTATGTCTGTATATGTGTGTATGTGTGTGTATGTGTGTGTATGTGTGTATGTGTGTGTGAGTGTGTATGTGTGTATGTGTGTGTCTCTGTGTGTGTGTGTATTGTGTGTATGTCTCTGTGTGTGTGAGTGTGTGTATGTCTGTATATGTGTGTATGTGTGTGTCTGTGTGTGTCTGTGTGTATGTGTGTGTCTCTGTGTATGTGTGTATGTGTGTGTCTCTCTCTGTGTGTGTGTATGTGTGTGTATGTCTCTGTGTGTGAGTGTGTGTATGTCTGTATATGTGTGTATGTGTGTGTATGTGTGTGTATGTGTGTGTATGTGTGTGTCTGTGTGTATGTGTGTATGTGTGTGTGAGTGTGTATGTGTGAGTGTGTGTATGTCTGTATATGTGTGTATGTGTGTGTATGTGTGTGTCTGTGTGTGTGTGTGTCTCTCTCTCTGTGTGTGTATGTGTGTATGTCTCTGTGTGTGAGTGTGTGTATGTCTGTATATGTGTGTGTATGTGTGTGTCTGTGTGCATGTGTGTGTGAGTGTGTATGTGTGTGTGTGTATGTCTGTATATGTGTGTATGTGTGTGTATGTGTGTGTATGTGTGTGTCTGTGTGTATGTGTGTGTGAGTGTGTATGTGTGTGTGTGTGTGTGAGTGTGTATGTGTGTGTATGTGTGTGTGTGTGTGTGTCTGTGTGCCTGTGTGTGTGAGTGTGTATGTGTGTGTGTGTGTATGTCCCGCTCTCACAGCAATGGCTGTGCTCTGGCTCCAGGAGAGTCTGCCCAGCTGGTGGACAAACACCAGACTCTCAAGGAATTGCTGTTTTGTTTTGTGTGTATTTTTAAAAAATATATATTTTATTGATTTTTTTTTTTTTTTTACAGAGAGGAAGGGAGAGGGACAGGGAGCTAGAAACATCAATGAGAGAGAAACATCGACCAGCTGCCTCTTGCACACCCTCCACCAGGGATGTGCCTGCAACCAAAGTACATGCCCTTGACCAGAATCGAACCTGGGACCCTTCAGTCTGCAGGCCAACACTCTACTGCTCAGCCAAACTGGCTTCGGCTGTGTTTAATTTTTTTAAAATACACTTTTATTGATGTCAGAGAGGAAGAGAGAGAGAAACATCAATGAGGAGAGAGAGTCAGCACCCCTCCTCCTGAGCTCCCCTCCTCCTGAGCTCCCCTCCCTGGGGACCGAGGGGCACCCTGCCCAAGCGGGCAGTGAGGTGGACAGACTCCAGGATGGACAGACAGACAAACAGGCACCTTTGTGGGGTGACAGGATCTGGGTCTCGGCCGGGGCTTGGGGGGCTGGTGTGTGTGTGAGGGGACGGGCTGGGAAGGAGCTGGCGACCAGCTGATCCAATCAGGTCGTTCTCAGAGGCTGTCCCCGGGCGCGCAGGAATCACCATGGTTACCGCCTCCGCACTCGGTTCTGAGAGCCACAGGCACACAAAGGGGTGGGGACGCTGCCAGCAGCATGGGACACGGTGGATAAGGCCCGGCAGACGCTGCCAGCTGGTCCTGCACAGGCAGCTTCCTTCTGCGCCTCTGCCTGGCAGAAACACAGCCCCACAAGCAACAGCGCTCTGAGTCTGTCCTCCCCCCCCCCCCCCGTCCTCCGTCCATCCCTCATCTCCCATCTCCCATCTACCTACCTACCCACCATCTCCCCATCACCCATCTACCTACCTATCCACCATCTCCCCATCACCCATCTACCTACTTATCCACCATCTCCCCATCACCCATCTACCTACCTATCCACCATCTCCCCATCACCCATCTACCTACTTATCCACCATCTCCCCATCACCCATCTGTCTACCTATCCACCATCTCCCCATCACCCATCTACCTACCTATCCACCATCTCCCCATCACCCATCTACCTACCTATCCACCATCTCCCCATCACCCATCTACCTACCTATCCACCATCTCCCCATCACCCATCTACCTACCTATCCACCATCTCCCCATCACACATCTACCTACCTATCCACCATCTCCCCATCACCCATCTACCTACCTATCCACCATCTCCCCATCACACATCTACCTACCTATCCACCATCTCCCCATCACCCATCTACCTACCTATCCACCATCTCCCCATCACCCATCTATCTACCTATCTATCATCTCCCCATATGTACCCATCTTCTTTCTTTCTTCTTTCTTCCTATCCATCTATCAACTATCCATCCATCTATTCCATTTATCTACCTGTTATCTATCATCTACCTGTCTACCTATCTATGCATCTGTCCATCTATCTGTCTATCCATCTATCTATTATCTGCCTGTCTATCTACCTATCTATCCATCCATCTATCACCTATCTATTTGTCCATCTATTATCTACCCATCCA